TACAGGAACAGCTTGTAACTTTTATCCTCGAATTCAGACACGACAACATCTTCGTCTACCGAGATCAACTAAGAGAAAATGCGTTATTAAAGAAGTACTATTGCGATGTTAACATTACCGACTTAATCAAGTATAACGAAGAGCTTGCGCACCGAATAGTAACAGAACCCGCCGAGATTATTCCTCTCGTATGCCACCTACTGCTTACTGAGATAGCGATCTAGATTAACTAATAATATATAATAGTTCGAAGGGGCCCTCAAAAAATGCACACACCGAATCATCTTCCCCCACGACCCTAAGGCCGTCATCCCTGAACACCAATTACTCCTCCACTCCAGCGCAGAAGATGTCTCGATCCGGAATCTGGATTCTGATACTATCGCAAGACTTGTTAGGGTGCCTGGTATCGTCATCGGCGCCTCCGTTATGTCTTCTAAGGCCACAGAGCTACACATACAATGCCGAAATTGTCTACACACGCAGATGATCCCCGTTCTAGGTGGATTTACCGGTGTAACGCTTCCCCGAACTTGTGGTCGCCAGAGACCTCCCAATGACCCATCCGAAAAATGTCCTCTAGACCCTTACTTTATCACTCACGAAAAGTCCAAGTTTGTCGATCAGCAGATTATAAAGCTCCAAGAAGCCCCGGACCAGGTGCCCGTAGGAGAGCTTCCACGACATGTTCTCATCTCCGCAGACCGATATCTTACGAATAGAGTCGTTCCAGGGTCAAGGTGCACGATAATGGGCATTTTCTCTATCTACCAAAACAAGGGTTCCAAGAACTCGTCTACTGGTGGCGCCGTTGCTATAAGAACACCTTATTTAAGAGCCGTGGGTATTCAGACAGATATGGACGCCACAGCTAAAGGAAGCTCAGTCTTCTCTGAAGAGGAAGAACAGGAATTCATGGAACTTAGCCGAAGGCCTGATCTCTACGACGTCATGGCTGATTGTATTGCCCCGTCCATCTATGGTAACCGAGATATTAAGAAAGCCATACTATGCTTGCTGCTCGGAGGATCCAAGAAGATCTTACCTGACGGCATGAAACTAAGAGGCGACATAAACGTGCTCCTCCTTGGTGACCCCGGTACAGCGAAGTCGCAACTGTTGAAATTCGTTGAGAAAGCTGCTCCTATATCTATCTACACGTCCGGCAAAGGTTCCTCGGCAGCTGGTTTAACGGCTTCCGTGCAGAGAGACCATTCGACGCGAGAGTTCTACCTCGAAGGCGGTGCAATGGTATTAGCAGATGGTGGTGTGGTATGTATCGATGAATTCGACAAGATGCGAGACGAAGACCGTGTCGCGATCCACGAAGCCATGGAGCAGCAAACCATCTCCATTGCCAAGGCAGGCATAACAACGATCCTGAATGCACGAACCTCGGTCCTCGCGGCGGCCAACCCCATCTTCGGCCGATACGACGACATGAAGACGCCGGGCGAGAACATCGACTTCCAGACGACCATTCTGTCCCGTTTCGACATGATCTTCATCGTCAAAGACGATCACAGCAGAGACAAGGACGAGCGCATCGCAAAGCACGTCATGGGCATCCACATGGGCGGTCGTGGCCTCGAAGAGCAAGTTGAGAGCGAAGTACCCGTCGAGACGATGCGGCGGTACCTCAGCTACTGCAAGTCGTAAGTCACGCCTATTTTCTTAACTGTCCCCATAGCCAGCAAACGCTAACCCATCTCCCAGCCGCTGTGCCCCTCGTCTCTCTCCCGAAGCCGCCGAGAAGCTATCCTCGCACTTCGTCTCGATCCGGAAACAAGTCCACGCCTCCGAACTCGAAGCCAACGCGCGCTCCAGCATCCCCATCACAGTGCGACAACTCGAAGCCATCGTGCGTATCACAGAGGCTCTCGCGAAACTTACCCTTTCCCCCATGGCAACCGAGCAGCACGTCGACGAAGCCATCAGATTATTCCTGTGCTCGACCATGGACGCCGTCACGCAGGGCACCGCAAACCAAGGCGGCCGCGAGCTGAACGAGGAAGTCGCGCGCCTTGAGCAGGAGCTTCGCCGACGCCTGCCTATTGGGTGGAGCACCAGCCTGGCTACCCTACGCCGCGAGATGGTGGAAGGAAAGGGGTTCAGCGAGCAGAGTTTGAACCGCGCGCTTATGATACTGCAGAGACGGGATACGATTATGTTCCGCAATCAAGGTGCGCAGGTATACCGGAACGGTGCTTAGAGCGGATGAGATGAGGTGGTTTAAATATGGCCTATGTGATTCATGATGGAAGCTGCTTCGTTTGGCTGGCTCGGCGTTCAGGTTGTGCTCGACAATAAGGGTATCGACGTACGTGGTTATGATTCTGAGATGCAATTTACATGCGAGTACGCCATGGTAGTAATTACGAACGACGCGGATGTTGAATAAAGAAATTACTTACTACGTCTTATCCACGACATTGTGTTTAGTATAATTACGCCACGATTACGGACATATTTGAAGAATTAACAGAATAGTTACCTAAAATTCAATCAGGGTATGGCATAGAGATATATCAACGGCGCTAGCAGTTTACTATCTGCCTCTTAAATCACGATAGACAAAGGGTCGTTCCGTCCCCTCTGCCTGATATAAGAACCACCTAACCAGCCACAGGAAAATAATAAATGAAATCTTATCCCATTCTCGTCATCATCCAACTTTTTATCATAGCGACCCCTATAACGCAATCGTCCAGCCTACACGTAAGCAATCGTATTATCCACCCTAACAGTACCGACAACACCCAACGGCGCTTCCCCACCCGCAACCGCAGGACCACGGGCCACGATCTCGCCGGCGTAGCTCTGGTCGGTGATCTTGTGGCTTTCCGTATCTCTGAACAGAACCTCGACGGCGCTTACGGGGGGTCCAAAATGCACGCCATTTCCATCGCCCAGCACGCGGTAGTCGTTGAATTGAGTTTGGGAGACGGCGCCTGCAACTCGAGGAGCAGAAAGGGCATAGATGACGCGGGCGCCAGTAAACACGCGCAGGTCCGATAGTATCTGCTCTGAAAGTCGAGGGGCGTCGGTGCCTGCGGGGTCTGCGACGTACAAGAGGCGGAGTTTGCCGGGTTTAGGAGTTGGAGTTGGGGAAGAACCGATCTGGGGGTGCAGGGAGTCATTGTACGAGGCGAGGAGGGAGGCTGCGGGCATAACACCATTTTGGACGAGACTGCGCGTCTGCACCCAGTGCGAGGCACGCGTAAGGAGTGAGGCATCGACTTTGCTTTTAGTCTCTTCGTGAGTCTTCTTGAGGGTTTGGGGGGTGGCGACGACGATGGTGGGCGCGACACCAGTGGTGGCCAGGATCAGGTCGGACGTAGTACCGGCGACAGAGTTGAAAGCCACGGAGGCATTGGAGTAGAGAGCTGCGAGTGTTAGGACTAGAGGGAAAGACGCCGATAGGGAGGCGGAAGACAAGAAGAGATCGGCAGGTGAGAAGCGTTCCTTTTGAGGGATTGCCGTGAGCTGGGCCGAGATGGCGGAGACAAGGTTTCCCTGGGTGAATCGAACCATCTCTTCAAGAGTGCCCGACTTATACTGCCAAAAGACGACGACATCCTGGATCTCAGCCTTGGGGTCGACCGGGGGCAGTTCAGTACCAGCCGTGACAGGGTTGTCGTTCAGGATATCTTGCCAAGTAGATACATTGACGCTACCACCAACACCCTTAGGGACCTCGTTCCAGTCGAGATGCTTGTTACCCTCATCAACTACCCAAATAAGCTGGCGAAGACCCGGGTAACTCGAAACAGCGTTGTCGAACGGGAAAGCACCGGGTGCGGTAACAACGGTGTCTGCGCCAGACCTCTGGAGCATCGAGATTATCGCATCCTCTGGCTGGTCAAAGGGCAATAGGATTGCAGTCAAATTGTAGAAGCTACAGGCGAACAAAGTTGCAATAAACTCGACAGAGTTAGGAAGATATATAGCCACCTTCTTCCCACCTTGAGAAGTGATGTGCTTTCCAACTAGATTAATCTGTCGTGTGATATCGTCTAGATTAGGTTGTTAGTCGTAATTCGTGTTCCAAAACTAAGAGGGTTGACCTACTGAGATCATGTTCGATGACTTTCTCGCTTCCCAGTACCGTGAAGATGCGCCCCCTTGTCTTGGGACCGCTTTCATCGGATGGACCGGATACGGTTCTACGCCAGACATCCCTCAGGTCTCCGTCTCGACCTTGGGCCCATTTCGAAGCGCCCGGATCTTTGACATTCAAACCGGTATTAAGAGGTAGACCATGAGGAGCTGAGTTGCCGCGGTAGACAGGTGATTCTCCCTCATTCCGGACTGGCGAGCTTGAAGCTTGGCGAGCGAGAAGCATGGGGTGGATATCAGGCTCAACTCGGTTCATGATAGAATATGTTAGGAGCAGCACCAAGGCCGTGGCAATTAGCGTAGAGTAGCCATTCCACTGGGTCAAGAGGGAGCTCAGTCCCTCGTCGAACTGGGTCAAAAGACTACCAGCGCTCATGTTGGTTAAGAGTTAGATATCAGCTCTTATATTGCTGATATCAAGTTACGATTCAGTAGGTTTCCCCTCGAAAGGATAGATAAATAGGTTGCAACTATGGCTAAGCCATTAAACGGCGGAAAGATCGAGGTCGTAAAAAAAAGAAATAGGAGGTAGACTTGAGGAAAGTCGGAATCCTTTCTAGATGTATCTGTCCGCGATCTAAGTACAAGGCATCCCGATGAGGTGAGATGCTTCGGTGGGGACTTGGAACTTGGGACTTCGGACTTGTTAGAGAACTGTTGTCAGCCCTGTGACGCAAGGAGCGTCCGAGCCTAAAAATGATACTAAGGCAGGTACCAAAGTACCATGGCCCGTGCGTCACAGCTCCCCTGAAGTGGATCTTGGCGCTAAGATTGCGATGCTGCAGGTAGGTTTGATAACTGATGACTAAGAAATGTAACAGTAGATTTAGGTTGTTTTCGCAAGTGCCTTGACAACCAAAATCACCCCCCAAAGAAAACAAAGCAGATTCATTCCATCAGACGTAGCTTACCGACGAACGACGAGGGCTGCGCTCTCGGCGCCACCGTATTATACTAACCTCAGGTACCAACTAACAGAACAGGTAGTTAATAGCAGCAGATAAATGACATTCGATTGACTCCACTCTGAATTCAAAGGTCCTTTCTCCTTTCTCTTCTGCAGAACGAGGTCTTACTATCGGTATTGTTTCAAGACGGCAGCCCACACACGTATTCTCGACACGACACGATATTCGGTTGATTCGTCTGTACTCTCGACTTCGAGACACCAGACCAGCCATAACAATCATGTCTTTATCAATGGCAAAGACGATCGTCACCCCCAAGAAATCAACACCCGCTGAGCCGCCAGTCACGGACAGCCCAGGCACATGGCAACACCCGCGTCTGCAAGAAATTATCCGGCGGCAGGAGGCCACTACATTCACCGATGGGAACGTCAAGCGCATCGCCGTTAATGTCGTCGTGCTCATAGCATTGATACTTCTCCATTCTCTTCTGGCGCGGGTACTACCATCTAAGAAATCGTTCCCCTACGCGTACGCTTCCATATCCTAATCTAACCAGCTCAACGATACTAACTTGCGCAGCGTCTGGAATTATTCGCGATACGCGTATTGGACAGTTCTTGCCATACCTCTCTTCAACATCGGCACGAATCTCCTGCCTCTGCTCAGGCCCAAAGATGATCTATCCGATATCCCCCTAACCCCCGCCCAGCGAAAACTACTAGGCCTACCACCGACCTCCGCGCCGCCTACTCCAGGCTCCGCATACAGCACGCCGCCCCGCTACTCCCGAACCCCTTCAATCTCCGGGTCTGCGGGCAGCAAGCGCAGCTTCTCCAGCTCTCCTCGCAGCTCTGTCTCTAACTTCGGCAGTTCTAATGGATTCAATGGAAATGGAAGTTTCGCCGGATTAGCGTCTCCACAGAGCCCCCTACTACAGAAAGCCATGAACGGTGCGCGCCGCTCTTCGATAAGCTCCCTAGGATCGCCTAGTCCTATGGGTGCCAGCACAGGATTCTCCTCGTTCTACGGCGGAGTCCCCGACAGCCCCAGCCCCAGCCCTGCAAGCGGGAAGAGAAGTACGGTTGGGTTGAACAGCAAGTGGCTGTACGAGAGGGGACGAGACCGCAGAAGTTCATCAGGCAACGCGTGGTTATATAACTAGGGGAGAGGATAAGCAATGTAAGGTATAATGCGAAATACCAGCTTTCGCTACACTCATGAGCCGCGCGCGTGTGAAAATTAAGTATAGACGTCAATACAGACGAGACTAATGCAACGCGGGATATGTTATAGCATATTGGAGTTTTGTGGACGTAACTGAGGTTTGCCACGGCGGAATAAGCCCGGAGTTGTCTGTTGCTGGTTATCATAGCAAGTGCATAAAGAGTTAATCGTGGTCCTGGTAAGAGGCAGCTGTGTATGTCTTGTCCCATTTAGTTACCTACTAGCATATCAATATCAAAATGAAATGACCAGTTGATATGCTAAGAGATACGATAGTTACTATCAATTTTAATAAGAGCTGTCGCAACTTCTTGAGACTTCATTACATGGGTACATGTAAGTGCCTACTCAAGATAGAACATTACATTAGCGTCAGTATATAAGATCCTAGGACCGTATTGATACCGTAAATATATGATTTATATATATGAATGGTTCCGCGACTCAGTACGAAAGAAGCACGGTAGCTACATCTACCAACGGTATTGGTATCAAATGGTATTTTTGCGATTAAACGGTTTAGTATATCGAATGGTTTTTCTTGTGCGAATGGTTTTTCCCTTACGAATGGTTTTTTTTTATCAACGGTTTTTTTTGGGAACCAACGGTTTTTTTTGGGAACCAACGGTCTTTTTGCGGTCCTAGTACGGTCGGGGAAGGTGCAGCACATAGGTAGGTAGGTAGGTAGGTAGGTAGGTAAGTAAAAAAAAACTTACTTGCATATACTACTGTACGTACTTGCCTCAATACAAGTATACTATACAGCAGTAGTCATTAAAGTAGGTAGGTAGGTAGGTAGGTAGGTAGGCAGACATTATATTACTTTCGAACACGTTACGGCTACGGCTACGAGGTTAGGTACTATTCAAATAGACTATTACATACATACATACACGCGTATAGCCTGTAATTACTTAGGTATATAAGGTGGCATTCGCGACTTCCTTACTTGATTACCTACTAGTATTGCACCTTCCCGGACCGTAAAAAAACCATTCGTTAAGAAAAAACCATTCATACATATATAAACCGTTCGAATAGCCAACCAAATATATACCATTTAAACCAGTACCGGTTGAAATATTAAAACATCTGAGCATTCAAATAGTATTAGAGCCTCAAACGGGAGATCTACGGTTTGGTCCCTATTTACTGTAAATGTACGGTACCCAGGTCTTATATCCTGACGCTAATGTACCTTCTCCCGAGAATACTCCTTCCCTTAGGTATCCGGGCAACACCTATTCTAACTTGTTCTAAAAGGTAGTTGCCCCAGATACAACTGCAGGCTCCTACACAAAATTAGGAAACAGCTGCTCCTCGATGGAAAGCACGAGCAAAGCAACTACGACGGGCGTTTGGGTCATATATTTAAAATCTAAACCCCAGACCTTCAGCTCTACAATCTTTACACTTACAACCACAATTCCTAATGAAGATTTTTCCTTACTCTTCTCATCCACTCCTATTTAATCAACATCCCGCTCGTCCTTCACGTTTCAAAGTTTTGATCGGCGATAACTATTCTAAACAAAAATACATACAGAGGATTAAGACATAAAACTATTAGTTATATCCTTCTTAAACATATCACTGCCTCAAACCCAGGACCCATTACAACCTAGAGAAAGTCATCCAGTACTTAACCGAGATCAAACCAGATCAACAACCATCCGAGACAAAATTATATACTAACGTCCGAAATGCCCTTCAAGCAATCAAAGTATATCGAGAACAAAACGATTATAAGTTCAACGGTAAGGTACCTACCTAACACAACAGTTTGTGCAACCCGCCAACAAATTCCAGTCGGCAAACGCTTCCGCCGATCAAAGTGGAACAAGGCGTGAATATACCAGGGAATATACTTGGGGGCGGCACGGTTGAAATCGTCAACAGTAGAAATAGCCCAACTGCTGGAGCGGCGTCAGGAAGCCGCAGTACGGAGAGGATCAGCATTGCGAACATAATCTAATATTTAGTAAACTCTTATCAAAACGCCGTGCCACCCCAGAGGAGACGGAGCCCCGCGAATTCGTTTCTGGTCCATCCAGAGATTCAGAGCTTCATATTATCAAACAAGCGTTCGGAGATCGGAGAGACGAGAACAGCGTGACTCGGTCTCACCGAATAATCTTGCTCAGGGCAAGCCCCAAAAGATAAAGCAGTCATTGTTCGCAACGATACAGACTCTGAAATCGCCATCCCGAATAATAGCCTCATGGGACACCTAAAACCACTCTAGCAAGGTCATCGAGGCCAACTCATCGATGACGATCGCGCAGCGCAGTTGGCACTGCGCAAACCACTGCGCAAACCACCGCGAAAAGATACTGAGTCCAGACAGACTGCTTGGTTCCGCAGGCGACTTCGTCGCCTCCAAGACGGCTCAGTAAGGTCTTTGGGCCAAGATAGGGTTAGGAACGCTAGCGTTGTTTATACCTTCAACCAGCAAAGCGTTAACTTGGAACTATTCAATAACATGACTCAGTAGAATCAACCAAATCAATGTGGTTGTGTAGATCAGCGAGGAGGCTATCGCGACAACTACCGCCCTTCATACCAACAACAACCACAATGGACTGCAGACAACTAAATATCACTCTCGACTATCCTCGCATTCCGACAGGGGCGGACGTCTTTACTGCAAAGGACTTCTTCACGGGCTTCAGCCGAGTAAGATGCCTGATAATCGATGGAGGGTTTAAGCCTACATGGCTGATTTCGAATATCCTCCAGAAGGATACTACCTAAATCCCGAAGAGTTTGAGCCTCCACCATTCGAATATACTTCTTCGATGGAAAACGAATCCTCTGCATCGACTTTGATGTCTCCCGCAAGGGCATCGGTGTGACTGTCTATCATGTCGATGAAAACACACTTTCTTCGTTGATGAAAGACGGGAAAATTTTCACCCACGCCGGACTTCATTACGCTAAACTCGAAAGGAAACGCCAAATGGAGCAACGTTCTATCCGACCCAAAGCTGTCGAAGAGCGTGTTTAAGTTCAGCATCTGGATTTTGATCCAAAAATCCAAAGCTTTGGTATTACAGTAATAATTCATTGTCCTAGCCCCACGGACAGCGATACAGCCCATCGCCTTCCTCTCAAGAACATTGTCTGTTGCGGAACAACAATATTGGCCGACGGAGACTCTCGGGGATACTCATATTGATTCTCTATTCAACATTACTTGACACGGTCATTAGCCCCTAAGTTAGGGGAAACAATTGTATTTCATCGGTTCCAAGACTGGAAACGTTTTACCCGTCAAACAATCAATTGAGCGAAGACGAGGCTACCATCCCGATCCAAATCAAATATACTGGAAACCTGCAGTTCTTCCTCGGGAAACTAGGGCTGAGGCCCTTGCTGAGGCCATCCTGTATTTCATAAGTTACCGCGTGAGAGACGCTGGGCTAGAGCCAACCTCAACAGAAAGTAAAGTTTCGGAAACAGAATATCATACGAGCCTTGATATTAAGTAAGCATCGCCTCCTTTTCCTATTCTCAACCTCATCATCCCCTTTTCTTATCCTCAATCTCATCGCCCCTATCTCGACGTTTCTAACGCGTACAGTGGAAGGCCATGATCAGAATTTTCGAACAGGAGATCGAGATTGACCGCCCTCTCTTCTTCCCAAACAACACCATCGCGGAACGTTGTCGATGGCCCCGGATTAAAACCACAAACTCGATCCAGAACATGGTCGTAGACGTTAACTTTTAGTGAGAGCTGCAGGGTCCACCGCAAACTTCGGATAGAGTTATGCAACGGTACGTTACACCTTATATGTGTTTATATATATTTAACAATATTTAGGGTACCGTTAGATGTGCCCGAAAAGCTTGCCCTTCCTATACAGACCCACTCCATTTCATGCTTCTTTATAGGACGTGTTTGTCGAACGCCGGACACACCGCCACGCGTTCCTATCTATCCTGAACAACCATCCGACAACTTTGTATATCCGCATCATGGAGGTCCACTTCTACCTTCGCAGGAAAGCCACGGGAAGAGACATACTTTTGCCCAGAGGAGCTCTTACCTTTTATATATTCCTTTACCTTGATAGTTCCTCACAGAACAGAAATCGTTGGGCAGTTGCAAGTAGCCAACTCAACTTCCAGCCTGGACAAATGATTTACTGCGCAGGTGGCATATTTGGTCAAATAAAACAGAAGGACGTGGTAAAAGCAAGCTTCCAAAAAGGAACACCCGTTGCTGAGTCCCCCATCTTCCTTATCATCCCAACTGTAAACCTACGCCCAGCAAATCCAAACACTGCACGGCCAACCTTGGATGCCTCAAGTAGCTCTAAACCGGCGAAGTCATACGTCGACTTCAATTATATTTTCATCCTCATCAGTCATCTGGTGGGTCGAGGTGATATCACAGTATCCCACAGCGCCGCCAGCTGCACTTCTTGCTGCTGTGGGGGACGGCACTTGCCACTGTAAAGGGCTTTTCTTCGTCGTTCTCTTCCACCGCGTCATCCCGTCTATCCCCTGTTTCGCAAGGATAACCAGCACTACATCATCGTATAAATACAGCATTTGCTACTCAGCGCCACCACGATTGTTTACACTATGGAATTTCATACCAGCAGTCTCCACAGAATGCATCCTCGATTCACCGATATTCTCCTCGTCGGGTTCTGGCGAGGGTGTGCGATTGATAGTACTGCTGGCTTCGCTACTATTCCGATGATACATATCCAGCAGTTGTCTGTGTCGACCAGACACTATCGAACGTTAACTTTTAGTGAGAGCTGCAGGGGCTAATCCATACAACCCAAATGCTTTATCAACGCTAAGTAGGAGCACGTATTCATGGACTACAGGCTGGATGTCTGCATCGTATTCGTTTTAAGAAGCGAAAATTACATTATTCCGCATAAGACTCAGCATAACCATGAAACTACACGACGACGTCGAGTTGGCCTGTGAAGGTTGGCCCTAGCTTTTTGAGGGCCGTGATCCAGCCGCTGAAGACGAGAGGTTCAGGAAGGAGCTTAGATGGCTGTCTGAGTGGCAACCACCATTAAGACGCATGAAGACGATAAGACAGCTCGTAGAAGCATTACAGCTTAGTTGATGCCTACCTATCCTCATGCTTTTCATCGCCTATTCTACGGACTTAGAATAAAATGTAGCTCTAGATTAAAATCCAAACTAGATTATTTATTCTTCATAGCCCACTAAAGCAGTTGCTTGTGTCATTATTTCTATTGGCTCATTCATATTACACTATAATGCACGCGACTATGCAATATACGCTATTTACTGATACCACCAACTCGAGTCTACAAACTGGTATGTATGACACCATGTACTCCAGTGGCCCTTGGTGCTCATTCAAAATGCTCGCTATGTCCAATTGCTGAAACTTTCATAAAAAACGCTCCTCCTAAGCAGTTAGGATGTTAATGTTTAGTCATAGCTCATTTCCGCCATCGTTTCCAGAACTTCCATCCCGTCGCTGCATTGCCGGAGCTAGTCTCCCGCTTGGAGACCTGGTCCCGACCCTGTATCCTCCAAAAAAATACCGGAATCCCAGATAGGACAAACGTAATGACGATGAGCGTCTTCAACGGCTGAGCAAATATCGCGCGGCTGAGTAAGAACAAGCTTACGCAGCAGAATATTATGGGAGTCGTAATCCACGTCTTGTATGGCCGCTCCAGCTGCGGCTCCTTCACCCTTAGGATGATCAATCCCAGAACGGTGAGGAAATAGAACGAGTATCCTGCTACCCCATAAAACGTAACGAGTTCCCCAAATTCACCAACGATCACATATATAGCCGTCAAAGTGCCGTTCAGCGCTAACGCGTACAACGGCGTAAAGAAAAGCCCCGTTTCTTCATCGCCGATCATATTGTGTAGTCGTTTAGAAAACCAATTCCTCGTCCTCGTAGTTGCCATGCCGGGTTCCCGAGAACCTATACCCACACGGCTAATGATGGCCGGGACGTAACCCTCCTTAGCAGCGGCATAAACAAGCCGGCTGCTAGTAAACGTAGATGAGTTGAGAGCGCCGAAGCAAGAGGCGCTAACGATCAGTGCAAAGATAAGTGCGCCGATGGGGCCAAATACTTTGTTGCCGAACATAACGGCAACAGTATTAGTGGAGTTGAGAACATCTAGAGGTAAAACGAGAAAATATGAAAAGTTGGCGAGCAGATAGCAAATGATAATAAGAGGCATCGCCGTGTGAATTACACGCGGGAGATCCCTCGAGGGGTTTCGAAACTCGCCAACTACGTAGTTCGTCTATGTTGCGATAGTTAGCTATACTGAACTGCCAGGACTCTTCTCATCTCCGAGGTGAAGACTCACATTATCCCAGCCGTCATAAGCCCACAGTCCGGCATACAAGGCAACAGCCCAATGGGTCGCGTCCGTGCTCGTACCTTCAAACCACGCGTGATTCTTCCAATCCACGTTAGCTTTGCCAGAAGTGGAAAACCCAGTAAGGGCCACCACGATCCCACAAATAGTAACGCCTATCAAGGCAATGAATTTTAGGAACATAAGCGTGTCGTTTACGCGGGTTCCAAGCTTGGTCGATATGCAATTCAAGAACGTCACGACGAACAATCCGGCAAGGCCAACACTCTTGTTGATCCAGGGGTTTACCGTTTCTGCTTCTGCTCCAATCACGGCGCGCACGAGGTACTCGCCCATGATGATGGCGATTATAGCGGCACTACCGGGCTTGAGAACGAGGACTGCTACCCACGTGAAGAGAAAACCAGCCAATTCACCCATTATTTTGGATAAATAAGCTTGCGCGCCTCCGTTGAGAGGAATGGCGCCCCCCAATTCTGCATAACTCGCCGCGCCCGTCCAGGCGAGGACGCCTGATATCACCCATACGATCAGGGATGCGCCAGGCGAGCCAACATTTACATTGACCTGGCTTGGAGACGAAAAGATCCCCGACCCAATCACTAAGCCTACAATTAAACCCAACCCGTTCAAGTACGTCAGCGTTTTGTGTTTTTCTAGCGAGGGTCCGCCCAGCCCACCATGGCGCTGAGCGGCTGACGTAGGCGCGCCTAAGGGGGCATAACCAGGAGCGGTAGATGAGGAGAGAGGGAAGAGATTCGCGGCGTAGTCGAAGTTGGAATTGACCGAGTACGTTCTTCCGTGACCGGATCTCAAATCGGAACGGCTCGCGGGATTATTGTAATCTAACGGGTCGTCTTGCTCGAGCGAAAGTTTCCGCGAGGAGGATAGCGACGCTCTAGAGTCTGTGTCCGAGTAGGTATCGGGACCGCGACTGGAGGATGCTAACGAGGCTAGTTCGAGGGAATCCCGAGCGCCTGGGTGGAGGGCGGACGAATATTGAGCTGGCATCGCAGCTAGCTGAGGTTATGTCGGTACCGGCAAAAGATAGTGAGTTCGGCTATTGTCTATTTTCTATGTCGTCGAAGAGGAATCATGGTCGGTTATAAGTGGTCGCGCACGTACGGAGGAAATTCGTGGCGTCAAGAGCTTGTGATGTCAGACCTTCAAATAGCCAAGAATATCTGTATTAAGACTTGGAATTAAGAAGATGCAATGCTAATATTGAAACAAGAGTTTCTATGATTATCTTGAAAAGCCCAAGCCAGGAAAATAGACTGGACAGGTTATTGTAGGAGTCTATGTAGAAGGAGGAAAAGGCTGAAAGGGCTGAATAAACCAAATGACTACGGAAGATGGAACAATGAGATTGCGATGGGTTGTTTCTGGATCTTCCACACGCCCCCCCACAGCTCCTTCCCCTTATTCAAGTCAAGCAATGATAGGGAGGTCTGTGCGGGACCAAGTAATAATTCAAGTACCGGACATAATCCTTGGCGCATGATGGTTACCTTACCCAGTGATTACCTAATATCGATATACGATAGGTACATATAGTTTCATTGCTTAGGTGCATATATGTATGTACACAAGCTCTTATCATCAAACAAACACCCTAACGTTGTCTTTGTTTGAAGATAGGGGTGAATAGACTTGTTCACCTTCGCAAAAAGGTTTGTAGCTAAACCATATGATTGTCATGGTTGAATATAACAAGCATGTTTGCATTGTCGTTGAATACTTATATCCCTATATATACGCCCATCAGGATGCATTCAAATGAGACTAATCACAGCTTCGAACAACAAACTTAGAAGATACACATAATACAACTTCGGACAACAATCTCAGAAAATACACCTAATAAAATAATACTAATCTACCTTTATAACCGGTCTCCAATATGTCTCTTAACAGCAACACCGAGAGCCACTCTGGCGAATCATCTTCTAGTAACTCTTCGCGCAGCTCTTTTGTCACCATCCTCTCCGGCAGCACAGATGCCCCGGATGTCAACCCTGGGGTAGTAGCACTTGTCAGCTCTCTCGTAGGCCGCGAGGTTAATTTTTCGGAGCAATCAGAAGAGGCTAATGAGATTCACAAAGTGATTCTCTTTCAAATAACGAAGCTTGTCCGCCTGTTAAAATCAGAAGGTACTTCCCCCTTTGGCGACGATGCCGATTCGGGGACTGCTGATAGACAGGTCCAAAGCATTCCCCTAGGCCGCGTAACCGCAAAAGGTTGGATCAAGAAACTTGGTCGCGCATGGACTAGAAATTCGGCGATCTCTTCGCACCTCATGAGGTTTGACGAGCTCTACCCTGACTGGGACTCTGAAGACAACTTTAAGCTTGCGCGGGTTTCAGAGATGGTTTTCCATGATATACATGCAGTCCAGCAAGATCTTCAACAGTTGTTTAACGACTTTCCTGATACTTCGGATGAGGAAGACTTTGATGTAGAAGATGTTGACCCTCTGTACCCCGATTCAAGCGATGACGAAGACTCTGAAGTAGAGGATGTTGACTCTCCGAACCCCTTTTTAATCGATGACGAAATTGAATGGAGTGATAATGATGATGGTGACTGGATGAGTATGGTAAATGCTATAAGAAACAGGGGGACACATTGAGGAAGATCTACTTCATCCCTTAGATGGTAAGTCCGACCTGGGAGAAGCCGTTTAATTAAGTTAGGTACCTACCTAAATATATACAGATAGTCGTCATTTAATGTTTACAATTGCAAAAGTTTAGTTTTGTTACCTACTTCTTAATAATACAGACAAATTGTTAAAACTTACTACCATATTGTTCCTAGGTGATTGAACTATGATAACATCTCTAGATTCCTTAAGTAGCTGGTATGTGCTGATAAGAATAGGCCAATATTTACCAATGGAATTAAAGCCAAGTTCGTCTTTATCTAAAGCTTATGTCTGGGTAAAGCTCTTCACAATTCATGATGTCTCTTATATTTTATTTTAAAGGTTTCGAATGATCGGATAGTTCTATAAAGATGCACTTATCGTGTGAAAGAGATGGATGGGCACATAAACGTATTATTACCTATGTAACAAACGGAGAAAGTGCCAATTACGAGGCATGTTGATAAGATAACAACCTTGGATTGTTTTGAATAATGAATAACAGGTAGAAGCCTGAAGCTATTCGTCAAGCTCACAAAATTCGTTATATCATTATCTTCAGCCAGCAGGCTCGTTCTCGCAGGGCAGCGGCCATGCGAGCTACCCGATGTATTCCGTTGTAAGAAATATTGCAGGTCGGTCGGGACCATACTTGAAGCTTAAAACCGTATGGTCTTCAAGTTCTCGATCATGCATTCTTCGCCGGACGTATGCTACGGCACAGCTCGACTTACCTGCTTTAGACCGGAAATGGCGTCAAGCTTCGAGGCGCGGCGAGCGCCCCGGAGAGGGTGGCCAGCTTCGTGGTGAAACAGGTGGTGATACTGCTTTAAAGCGTGATAATTCTCAGTCCACCAGCAACCATATGTACATACTTTCTATGTTCCCGTATCCCTCAGGCAACTTACATCTCGGCCATCTTCGTGTTTACACCATAGCCGATGTAGTAGCACGATTCTACATGTTACAAGGCCGTGATGTTCTTCTTCCAATGGGCTGGGATGCCTTCGGGTTACCTGCTGAAAATGCAGCAATTGAACGCGGCATTGACCCCGCTGTCTGGACGAGGGACAACATTGCTCGTATGAAAGAGCAGCTCGAGTCGATGAATGCGAGCTTCGATTGGTCACGGGTTCGTTCAGATATACCATGATAATATCAGGGCACCGAATATTAATAACCACGTAGGAATTTGCAACATGTGACCCGGAATTCTACAAGCACACGCAGAAAATATTCCTTCTCCTTCATAAGCACGGCTTTGTGAGTCAGCGGAAAGCGACTGTGAACTGGGACCCTGTTGATAAGACCGTGTTGGCAAACGAACAGGTCGACTCAGATGGTCGATCATGGAGATCGGGCGCAAAGATCGAGCAGCGCGAGCTTGAGCAGTGGTTCTTCCATATTACCAAATTCAAGGAATCGTTGCTACGAGATCTTAAGAAGCTTGGCGAGGATGATGCCTGGCCCGAGAGAGTCTTGACTATGCAGAAAAATTGGCTAGGACGCACAGAGGGTGCTTACTACGAGTTCCTCGCCAATACCGAGGACGGAAGACCCGAGTCTCACAAGGTAAAGATATACACAACAAGACCAGAAACTATATTCGCAGCCCAGTTCCTCGCTCTCTCCCCACATTCGCCTATCGTACAAAGGTTAGCACAAGATGATCCAGAACTTCGGGAGTTTATAGAGCGCGTAAAGGATCTTCCCCCTGATACCACAGAAGGTTACCAGATATCACAACTAAATGCAATAAGCCCACTTTCCTCCCTCAAGGACGTTCCAGAAGAAAATCTCAAACCTCTTCCGGTATATGTTGCTCCTTACGTCAGAGGAGATTATGAAACCGGAGCAATTATGGGAGTCCCAGCCCACGACGCAAGAGATTTTGCATTTTGGAGAAGGCATCGCCCTGAAGAGCCACTAAAATATGCTGTCTCGCCCGACTCAGACGGATCTATCTCTACCCTCAAGAATGGGCCTTACTTAGAGGCAGGATTCTTGACCCCTATTACTGGTTCTTACTGCGCAACGCCCTCTAGCGCTGCAGCGAAGGATATCGTCTCTCAGATCAAAGCTGCATCCAATCTCGCAGAAAGTAACACCAAATGGAAAATCAGGGACTGGTTAATTAGCAGGCAGAGGTATTGGGGGACTCCAATTCCTTTCATCCACTGCAATACGTGCGGCCCGCAGCCTGTCCCCGAAGATCAACTTCCAGTCACCCTTCCCAAAGTCGATCATCACTGGGAAAGTGGCCGTCCCGGTAACCCTCTCGAGTCCGCCGCCGATTGGGTTAACACCTCGTGTCCAAAGTGTCACGGCCCAGCCAAGCGAGATACCGACACGATGGACACGTTTGTGGATTCTAGCTGGTACTACATGAGGTTTGCAGACCCCAACAATTCAGAGGTCCCGGTGTCCGAAGCCGCGGCAAAAAGCCACCTCCCAGTAGATATCTACATTGGCGGAGTCGAGCATGCGATTCTCCACCTCCTCTACGCTAGATTTGTGTATAAGGCAGTTATGAGTATTTTGTATCCCGAAATGGGCGTCACTAATAAAGAAGGTGGACATCTTAATTCGCCACTAGACTTCTCAGGAGAACCTTTTAAGCGACTCATCACCCAAGGCATGGTACATGGCAAGACGTACACGGACCCTGAAAGCGGGCGCTTCTTGAAGCCAGACGAAGTAGACCTATCAAATCCTTCTGAGCCGAAAGTAGTGGCGTCAGGAAAGACCGCGACAGTATCGTTCGAGAAGATGTCCAAGTCCAAACACAACGGTGTAGAGCCGACCTCCTTTATTTCCAAATATGGATCTGACGCTACAAGAGCTCACATCCTCTTCCAAGCACCCGTTGGAGAGGTTTTGAACTGGGACGAAGATAAGATTTCTGGCGTCACGCGCTGGTTGCGTCGAGTATACGACTTTGTCCAGGGCATTCGAAAATCAGGGGAATTTGAGTCAATATCCAGTACTAACTTCGATGGGAAAGCTTATTTCAACCGCTCCGTAGATGAAATACAAAAGATGAACGAAAAGGAATCAGCGCAATGGGCTGCTGATGTGGAGGTGTGGCGTACGACGCAGAACACTATTGCATCCGTTACCAATGCGCTGGAAAAGGTCTACCCCTTAAATACTACGGTATCAAGCCTGATGGGCCTCACAAATGTACTCGTCGAAAAGCAGCTAGCTTCGGATATAATCAAGCGCGAAGCTACACGGCGGCTTATACAGATGATGGCGCCCATCACGCCTGCATTTGCTGAGGAGTGCCGGAGCATCCTTGCGCCCAACAGCCGAAGCATATTCGCCAAGGGTGAACGCAGTTGGCCTACCCTAGACGGATCGATACAGCTTCTAGGACGAAGCCACGTTTCTTGCGCCGTCCAGGTAAACGGTAGGGTGCGGTGCGTGGTGGATATACCAACGAAGCCAGCAGAGATCGCAGATGGTGGTGATGAATTCCGCGACTGGGTTACAGAGGAGATCCTCAAGTCACCGGAGGCGCAGGCTAAGCTCGTTGGCGATCTCGACATCAGGAAGGCGAGCAAGGTGTTCCCCGTCAGAGGCGGCGCGGTCGTCAATTATGTTATTCCAAAGAAAAAGGTGTAGATAAAGGGGATAAAGGAGTACATGCTTGATTAGATACCCAGCTCAATGCTTGGCTAGACGTGTATAACTACTAAAGATAGATGAATGTATATAATAGAGAGGAGTAACATATGGAGCACTTCTGGCCGATGAACCTCTACAATATATATTCGTTTTGGTTGTAATCGACCCCCTATCAAGAATAAGGGGTGCTGAAGCTGGCGTATACGTATAGACACATTAATCGTTAACCAATAGGCGTGCTCAATTCTATTAAAGTGGGACTGCATAGTTAATTCCTAGAGAAACCATCGAGACAAACCACTAACTTAGGTAGGTACACCACATCACGGCCAAGCCTGGCGCATATTTATACTTTGCTTTTCGAGCTTTTATATGTTCGTAGAGCCGAATGCTGGAGTGGTTTTTTTCTTTTCCTTTTTTTTGGCATAAATTTGCCTTCAAAGTCCGTCTCATCTAGTAGTAACACAGGGCTTATACAGCCAGATTGGCTTACCACCACCAAAAGATAATTTCGTAATACATCCTTCCATCACATATCTTATTCACATATCTTACTTCCCTATAGTTCAAATGCCACGGCTCTCACCGCCGGCCATCCGGCGCTTACACGCCAACACGCCGCTCCTGGCCGCTCTGCTCCCCACTTGCAAAACCCTGAACTCGGCGCACAACGAGCTGCGCTGGATCCGCGAGCACGTGTGGTCTTGCACCCTCGCGCCGCAGTTCCAGAGCATCGCAGAGGCTAAAGGCAACGACGAGAAGAGCAGGAATGCCCTGCTCCGCCGTCTATGCCGCCTCAGGGGCCGCGGGTATCCGCTCCAGTATATCCTGGGCACCCAGCCCTTCGGCCGCCATATCGATATTAAGTGCCGTCCCGGGGTCTTGATCCCGCGCCCCGAGACGGAGGCTTGGACTACGCATCTCGCTAAGCTTATGCGCAGGGCCTGGAAAGTGAATAGGCATATGAAGGGGGAGGGGATACATGCGCATCTGAGGATTCTCGATCTGTGTACAGGTTCCGGTTGCATCGCGCTGCTATTGCATTCCCTCTTATTCCGCAAGTTTCCGAAGATACGTGTCCAGGGGCTCGATATCGAACCTAGGGCCGTCTCGCTGGCGAAGGAGAACCTCGCGTATAATGTAGAGCGCGGCTTGCTCCAGCAACAAAATGCCGACGCTATCTCGTTCGAGGAGACGGATATCTTCTCTGCGGACTGGCTCGCGCCGATCCTCGAGCAAGTGAGCTTTTCTCTTACTGATAACCCACGAGGCAGACTACTGCACTCGGAGAGAGGCGCCGTAGATATACTCGTCTCCAACCCGCCGTATATATCACGAGAGGGGTTCGACCGCGACACGGAACGTTCGGTGCGCAACCACGAACCCCGTCTCGCTCTAGTCCCGGAGCCGTTGGCGGATAACCCGTCATATGCGACTGTCCTGCCCGAAGACGTGTTCTACGCTAGGATTCTGGATGTCGCAGAGATACTCCGGCCGCGGTTTGTGGTCCTTGAGGTGGGCGACTTGGCGCAGGCTGTCCGCGTGGTGCAGATGGCGCGTGAACGCAATAGCGACGCAGAAGAAGTCGAGATATGGAGAGATTGGCCGGATATGCAACCTCGTGAAGGCGAGCCGGAGAGCGTGGACGTGGCCGGTATGACTGTGCCGGTCAGGGGTAGTGGTAATGGAAGGGTTGTGTTTCTTCGTCGGCTTAATTTATACGAATATGAAAACAAATCCAATCGTAAAGCAATACAAAGGCCCTGGAATATATGTTAGGTAGGTTAGGTAGGTACCCGATCTTTAACACGACATATATTATTATATACACGACGGGAGCGGTATTTACAGCTAATAGTATACAGCCAGCTACCTACCTATGTACCCTATATATATATACGAATATTACTCCATCCCCCCAAAAATACCACACGGGCGCATCTACTCTCTTCACGGCTTGGTGAACTTATCGAAGAACTCCATGATTATCTGCGACGCCTGGATATGCGTCGGCCCCTGTCCCGCCGCCACCTGCGAGAAGTTGATCTCGGTCGACGCCCAGCAGTGTCCTGCAGGAGGTATCAGAATACAAGCGAGTAGACACCACACGTGTAAAATCCAAAGGACAGGAAAAGAAAAAAAATAGGTTAGACTTACCCATATCATCGACCTTCCAATGCTGCAACACGCCCTCCTCGCCCCCGCAGTTGTTCCAAGTAGTATGATGCACGTCGCCACCAAAGCTATCCTCGACCAGCTTCGCGCCGTCGTCGCACCCGTTCCGCTGCGCCCACCACCCGAGCCAGGTCGGAATACTCGGCTCCTCGCCGCCCTCGCCGTCTCCCCCGTCGTAGCGCACGCTGCCGTCCGCGCCGCCGTGCACCTCGAGCACAGGCAGCGGGCTCCGCGCCGGCGTGCAGGCCCCGTGCGTAGCGTCGTTGTCCGTGTAGTACGACCCCGAGGCCGGCGCGAAGGCGGCGAATTGCCCCCCTACGTCGCTGCACGCGATGGTGTTGACGAAGCCGCCGCCGATGGACATGCTGGTTTTTTCTTTTTGTTAGTATTTGTGTTGTGTTAAGTAAGAGATGCGGGATCGTTAGATTGGGGGAAAGGAAGGGGCCGCACCCCGTGGCGTAGATCCGGCTGTCGTCTACGCAGTACGAATCCCGGACATCATCTAGCAGGTCCGAGACAAACTGCAAGTCCTCTTCCACCGAGACCTCGGAGTAGTTTGCGCCAGCCCAGGCGCCCTAGGGTACTGTTAGACACGGCAGTTCATTGGAGCATGGGGTGTTAGCGACTTACGCCGACACCGTTCGGGTAGACCATGATTTTCTAGGCAATTCTTCTGTCAGTAATCGTATTCTATAAACACGCGAAGTTATAAAAAAAACCACATACATCTGCGCTAAAGCTGTCAGAGCTCAACCCAGTATCCACCTCGAAGAACAGCCCTATACTGCTCGAGCCGTGGAAGCCGAGCACGACCGGATACGGCGTCGTCTCGCTGTAGTTCCCCGGCGTGTGGATGAAGTAGTTCCGCCCACGCCCGCTGCTCGTAAGGCTATTATATGTCGTTACGCCGGGGAGCAAATGAGCTTTCCCGCACCCTGCAGACCCTGCCGAAGCCGCTGTTGGAGTTGGAGCTGCGGCGACAGGGGTGCCGAGAACGGTCGCGGCGAGGATACTTGCGAAAGTAGAGAGCTTCATCGCGCTATCTGTATTCTTCCTACGGGTAAAGAATGAATGAATGGATAGGGTTAGGAAGAAAAGGAAGAAGAGGGGGAGGCTCACTTAAGCTTCTTGGTCAAGCTCATCTGATCCAGGGGTTCGGGTGTTTATATACATATACATATACATATACATATAAGAGCAGCATCCATTGTTAATGCAAGATCGGCGGTACCGATCTATATTTGTCGATCCGCGCGCACCGAGGGACAGGCCGCGATAGGTTACGCTTACTACCTGCCCGAATAGTCAAGGCACACCTACAACATCTGGTTGGACGCGGGGGCATATTAGTTTCACGGGGAATGTAACGTTATTATTGTTATTATTGTTGTGAAGGAGATTTAGATGCGTGATGATGCTTATTGTATTATTGTGTGTGTACCTATCTAAGGTTGTAGAGGTTTCTGTGTTTATATGCTATCCCACTACTAAAATGGAACATGGACCAACTGCCGTGACTTAGGTTGCTACCTCTTCCCACATTACATAAATACCTAACTCATACCGCATAATGCAAAGATGAACTGGGCTACGAATATCCGTACCATTGAACAATATGGAGACGGGGCGAAGATGTTTAGCTTCATATCATCATGGCTCTGGGAATCAACCATTTCGTGATGATGTGAGCAAGTAGTGTACACCTGCTATGCTTCTGCACGAAAAACAAGAGCCTTAGCCAGATTAAGACCATAGTATCCGTGTAGACAGTTTATTCTTTCTGGACACTTTGAAGCCAGGTTGCGATTTCCTTAGGAATAGTACCTGATGCCGTTCTGATCTTGGATTTGTTCTGGATATGGCAGCGGAAGTATATGGCAGTGAAGTTGCCGTCTTTTGACTTGGTGTATGCGTAGTGCGAAGATTCTGCGTCCGCGAAAGGATCCTTGTGTTGTTATTATTATGATAGTCTTGATAACTCGGCGCACCTCTTTGTGTTGACTTGATTTGGTGAAAACTGCTGTTCCATGTGATGTGACTCCTTTACATACATTAGTTAGGTAGATTAGGTACATGGTAGGAGTTGGTAGGTTAGAGTGCAACCCTTCATCATTCGGATTTCGACATTTTGTATTTCTCGCCTCGACTTTCCATCTATTGCGATCATTTCCCTCATCATCCGTTAAGCTTCCATCTTTAGATGGGAAAAACCAATGCGAGCTAGTGCACAATTATGTGCCCAAGCCGACATCGAAAGATTCGGTATCAAACTCTTGCTTAAGTTAGGTTATTATCGTAGGAATCCGGGGGCTTGGTAGGTTCGTCAAAATCCGAGTTATAGTAGACCTTAGGTTATGAGTTGCGAGCCATAGAACCGACCAAATCAGCCTCGCAAGAAAGTCCATCGCTTATAGTAGGAAAGCGGCTACCAAGACAAACTCGAACAAAGGTAGTAGAATGATATTCGCAACCACGCCACCCGGCACCCGCCAGTGCATCTTTGGCCTGTTGGCCGCGGCGATGGCGAAAAGCACGCGGAGCGCTTAGCTCACAAATACCGATAAGGCGCGCCGCACGAAGAGTGGGGGGCCTTTCGGACGTCTCTTCTGCGATAAGGGCGACACGAAGCCACCATAGGTAGACTTTGAGCTGGAGTATGAGCGCGAGCATGATGACGCCCGACCAGTGTCTGATCGCCGTTGCCGTATTCGAGGGGAGTGGGGTTGCCACTGAATCCTGTGGTAGATGGGGTCAGTACTTAGTCAACTTATCGAAGGTAGTTGCTGTTAAGTGACATCATGTGCTCGTTTGCAACCATATTATTCATTTCAGGCAACAGTCATGAGTGTTACTCGCGGTATGAAGGCGGGGTGGAGGAGGAAGGGGGTGAAGTAGGAATAGGGTAGTGCCAGTAGGAATAGTGCAGCGTAGGCAGTGTGGTAAAGGTAGGTGATAAACAACATTCAAGTAAAATAGTACTTACTGCAGTGACACCACATATAGGCAAATAACATCCAGACCAGTCCGAGGGAATCAGGAGACCTCGGTGACACCTCGACAATCTCATGTGGTAGAATATGCGGGCTAGTAGACTGTTGTTGTCGGTAGCCACCAGGACATGGACAAGAAGGATGGCTGCAATTATTATTGTCCATGTTGTTAGAAGGTATATGTCCATGTTGGAAGGTGTATAACCATTGTTGTGAAATGGCGTTGCGTTGACGGGATTAGATTAAAGGAGGAATTGAAGGAGGAGTTGGAGTAGAAGTAGGCGAGGGAGCAGAAGATTTTGTGTAGGGAGTGGAAATAGGGATAGAGTTGATGTAGTTAGGTTAAAGTAGAAGTAGGCGAGGGAGTAGAAGATATGGATTGTGTAGGAATAGAAAGGATAGAATAATTGTTAGTTTCGAAAGAGGCGAGAGCAGCCTTCGGGCAACCGCCTGGTTTCGCGGCCTGTACTTTGTACGCCTTAGTAGCCAATAGTGTAGTTCCCACAGCCGCATTCATCAGCGATGTGTTGACGGCGATGTGTTGACGGATAGTTAGCAACACGGCACCACACCACCGTCATCAGCGATGTGTTGACGGCGATGTGTTGACGGCGATGTGTTGACGGCGATGTGTTGACGGCGATGTGTTGACGGCGATGTGTTGACGTATAGTTAGCAACACGGCACCACACCACCGCCGTCCGCAGGCCACGCTCGTGTCCCACGCCCCTGTCGACGGTAGGTCGCAATTATGGCTTAGTTACTGAGACGTTTTGCACAAACCGTATGATTGCCATCCCTGATGCCTAGGGATAGTTGTGCTGCAACGCCAGCCTGGTCGGTACCTTTTCTTTTCCCTTTTCCTGGCTTCAGACATGGTTGCTCCGCCAAGTGTTGACTGAATGGTGTTGCGTACATCTTTTAACTGTAGAGAGACGTTAAAGTATTAAAGTATATGTCCTTAATGTTGGATGAAAGGAGTTAATAAAATAATTAAGTGTTATTAAGTTATTATCGGATGATTGAGTTGTGTTGCGCCATTAAATGGAGGCTGGTTTAGGTTAGGTAGGTAGTTTGGTTATGAGTTGAAGAGAGAAAGGAAGGAAGAAAAAATTATCTTCGGCGGCGGCACGCGATTCTTTAATAGTGCCCGGAAAGGCCTCACTTCACCGCCCCACGGCAGTTTCTAAGGAACTAACTGTTCTTTCTAAGGAACTAACTGTGAGTCAGGTACTTGTTCCTCAGGTGTCCACAACCGTCCGTTGCTACGGCCAGGCTATTAGCAGCTGCTACCCTCGGAAAGCCGTAGTTATCGTTCCTTCCTTCGTTCCTTCCTTCTACGAGATTCTACTTCACCGAAAGTACCTTGAAAAATGTTCCCTCGTCAGGAGCAAACATAAAATATTTGAAAGTGGTCGGTGCTAACTGTGCTAACTGTGTGATGTATCATGTATCTCTTAACTTAGGTTGTAGTCATGTTACTAGGAACTGATAAAGAGAGCCTACGGATTGCCTCTAAGGTTAGATACGGCTATTCAGAACTAAAAGAACGTAGAATCATGTAGCGGTGATGTACCTACTTGGTAGGTGTGATATAACTGTCGTAAGATCGACCTAGGGGACATGAAAACCACTTTGTTATTACGCTAGAATTTCTAAGTCTACATGTTACAATACCCACTGGCGCCAACTAGATATTTAGAGCATCTTTTTTTCTGTATGCATTAACGACATCAGTTTCAAGTATTCCTGTAGTTCATAGTGTTGACTATGATAGACCTGAGAATTAGCAAGCAATTTATTGCTTAGATGCATAGGAGAACTACTATGGCCCCTATATGAATATTGCCTTGTAAGTCCTTTGCAATAGAAAAGATTCACCTACTTTGGACACAATTCTACAGAGGGGGTGTTTTCTCTAAATTCTACATGAACATAGAAGGTATTAACTGCCTACAAGAGATGTCATAAAAGTTTAACTTCAACCTGAGGCAATTTGCTGGCTTTTACGGTATGCCAGGCGGATACCTAGTATGTGGGCGTATTACTTGTTCTTTAATTGGCTTGATGCACAATGCAACACTTCAGATATAGCATGTAAGCTGTACCTGCGCCACGCATGAAGACCCCTGTTATAGCTAATAGAGGGGCATACGATCTATCAAATCAATAAATACGAAAATTAGCTCTAATTATCTATTGTATATGCTTTCTTACGCTCATAACCCATAACACGCCCACAATAGCCAGCGTCTAGGGTCAACAAGACTTGTAGGATTGAATAGCATCTCTGCGGCATGGTCAGTTATCACGCCCATTCTTCAGAACCCAGAAAGTAATACTTGATCAGTTTCGGAGGCTTTCCAATCTTAGAAGGAAAGATCGGAGTGAGCGTCGTCCGCTACGGTTTCATCGAACGGAGTCCGAATCTCAAGTCTCCGGTCCGAGCCTATCTAGTGTCTCCGGGTCGGTTATTAAAGAAGACCAAGATGAACTTACAAGAACTCTCCATCCGCCAATACCCATTAAAACTATTGACAGTACCAGCCAATTTGGAAGTCATAACGATGCTGGACCACTTGGTCTCACTGTTGTTTATACCCCTGAAAATGCTCACAAGGCTGACATCGTATTCATACATGGGCTCGGCGGAACTAGTAGATGGACATGGTCGAAGAACAGAGATCCAGAATTATTCTGGCCGTCGAAGTTTCTGCCCCTTGAGTCCGACATCTGTCTAGCTAGAGTACTAACCTTCGGTTACAATGCCAACTTCCTTAAAGCCGGAAGTATTGGTATTTCCGTGTTAGACTTTGCTAAGGATCTGCTATTTAACCTGAAATATGCGAATGACAATAAAAATGAAGATTTAAATCTGGGAAATGTAGGCATGGCCCAAAATGATACATATACCTAACATGAGACATACCTAATCCAGAAACTAGGTACCCCTTGTTTTCATTGTGCATAGTATGGGAGGACTTATCATTAAGGAGGTAAGCATACTCTCTAATGTGTATATCCCACATTGCTTATAATGAAAGGCGTATATCCAAGGCCAGAATGACCCGGAGTACCAATCTATCATCAAGGCTATATCGGCAATCATATTCCTAGCCACGCCGCATCGAGGGACGTATCTTGCTGAAACATTGAACCGGATCTTACAAGCTACCATAGTTACAAATTCAAAGCCATACATATCCGATCTTGTGAATAATTCCTTTACATTGCAGAGGCTTAATGAGCAATTTCGTCACATTGCGCCTCGATTGGATATCGTTTCGTTCTATGAAACCCAGCCTACTTCGGTCGTGCTTAAACGAATTGTAGGCACGACTTAACTATGACGCGGTCTTCTGCTGACGTATTGTAGATGGTGGTGGAGAAAGATTCTTCTGTACTTGGATATCCTGGAGAGATATCCAAACCGCTAAATGCCGATCACCATGGAGTTTGCAAATATGGAAGTCCCAACGACCCCGACTACATCGCCGTAAGGAATGTACTCAAGTCACTCCTCAGGAAGGCTATATCGGCGAGCAATCCTAAGCCGACCGTGTCGATTCAAAAGGAATCGCATGGCCTGAGATCCTTTTTGGCCATTACAGAAGTTCCAACCGTCGATTACAGTTTCTTCCGAGATCAATGGGCACATGGCACTTGTGAATGGGTCCTTCGAGATGAAAATTTTGACAGATGGCTCCAGGCGCCTGATAAAACATCGTCCATCTTATGGCTGAATGGAGGGGCTGCAACTGGAAAGTCAGTGTTATCTTCGTTCATTGTCAACCACCTCGTAGAGCGAGATGCCTGTTGTCAATATTTCTTCATAAGGTTTGGCGATGAGAAGAAACGCACTCTGAGTACACTACTACGTTCAATAGCTTACCAGGCAGCGTTGGCCATCCCAGCCTTTCTACAGAAACTCCTCGAGCTGACCGACGAAGCTATTGACTTTGAAACCATAGATTCCAGGACGATCTGGGAAAGGATCTTTAAGTCCATCCTATTTAATATGGAAGAGCGGAAACCCCTTTACTGGGTAATAGATGGCCTAGATGAGGCCCATGATCCTCGAGCTATCTTCAGACTCTTATCAGACGTCTCTTCCTCTTCGATTCCGCTTCGCATCTTACTTGTCGGCCGCAGAACCTCGGAGATTGAATTCGCATTCCAAAAAGTCCCAAAGTATCTAAAATCGGGATCTATAAATATTGAGGGCCATCTGGAAGATATACAATGTTATGCGCGCCAAGAACTAAGTATGCCTGGCGGTCCCAACTTCAAGGAATCGATAGTAAAACGAGTGGTGGATAAGTCGCAGAACAATTTCCTCGTTAGTGAAGTTCATAGTAGACTTAACCTACCCCTTGCCTGAGACTAAAATTTTCCTATAGTGGGCACGGCATGCCATTAGCGAGTTAAATCTATGCCATAGACGCGCAGATGTTGAGCGTGCGCTCCAGGAACTACCAGTTGGCATGGATGCGGTTTATCATCGCATGGCGTTGTCGATTTCCCAAAATCCATCGTCATCTAATAAGGCTTTAGCATTGGCCATTCTTCAGTGCGTTACTTGCTCAATTCGCGGATTGACAGTTGCGGAATTATCGCAAGCGCTAGACGAAGACCTATCTGAAATACTAGACCTTGAACGGTCGATTATAGACTTATGTGGTGGGTTTCTGGTCGTTGATAACAGCGACAATGTTACGATGATGCATCAAACTGCGCGCGAGTACTTGCTAGATAATAGCGATCATCCCTTCAACGTTGATTCCAGGGATGCCCACGAGCGCATGTTTAAAAGTTGCATGAAGTGCCTTATGACCATTGGCCTCCGTGGAAAGGTGAACCAGAATCAGAAGCCGGAATTTGTTGATTATGCATCAAGCCACTGGTCGTCGCACTTGATATCAACATCCCCCGAGAGTGAACAAGTTGGCGATATTCTCAAGAAGTTCTTAACTAACCATTGGGTTCTTACATGGATACACGTCCTCGCTTCATATAACCAGCAGCAAACACTAATACAAGCCTCAAGGAATCTGTCAAAATATTGTTCAATGCTACAACAACACAACACAGCAGAACGAGATGGAGGACGAGTCATAGTAGAACAGGAACTTCTTCAAAGTTGGTCGATAGACTTTGTGAAATTAGTAGGGAAGTTTGGTGCTCATTTGCGACGAAATCCGGAATCGATATACAAGCTAATTCCGCCCCTCTGCCCCCGAAATTCTTCAATATATAAAATCTTCGGCAAGCGAGAGGCAAAGAATATTTCGGTACTAGGTATATCTACTGAGAGCTGGGACGATTTTCTTGCCCGCATATCGCTGGGACCTGGCAACTTTGCGTCATCCATTGCGGCGTCTGGCCCTCTTGTTGGTATTCTCGCCTCCCGGAAGAAAGTGTTCGTGTACGACTCCTCGACATTTGAAGAAATGATAGCCTCTCCCATCGAACATGGCGAGAGTATATACCGGATGGAGCTTAACAATACTGCTACCCTGCTGGCCACCTATGGTTACAAGACAACCAAAGTATGGGAAACATCAACTGGAAATTGTAAACTTTCGGTTGATAACATCGCTTCGCGGCCCCGGCCACTTTGTATGCTATTTACGAAAGATAATAATACTCTACTTGTTGGTAGCGAAGACAAGCAGATAAGATATCTTGATCTGAACCAACAATCTCCGGTCTGGCAGCTCGTAGCGGATCTGGAAGAACCACAGCTCGAAGGCCACATCCTAAACTCATCAAGCTATATGGCTATGAGTAAGGACGGGACTCTGATTGCTGTGGCCTACCGAGGCCACCCCCTTTCTGCATGGGAAATAGACGGGCCGGTCCACTTAGGGCATTGCTGGCGAACTCACGACGAGAGGGATAGAGGCGATGTTATCGATGCCGTCTGGCATCCATACTCTCTCGAACTTTTCGGTCTTTACATCGAAGGGGTGCTTTTCAAATGGAGTCCTCACGATGGTAATATCATTGAGATGCGAACGGGAGCAGCTAGACTAGCAATTAGCAGGGATGGCAACCTTCTTGCTACCGGCGACGCACGCGGAACTATCAAGGTCCATGACACGTCTGATCTCAATTTACTATACCACCTCACATCCCAGGACACGGTCCTAGGGATAGCGTTCAGCCCGGATCATCGACGCTTCTACGATATCAGGGGTAATTATGGAAACGTGTGGGAACCGACCGTACTAATGAAATTCCCCGAGCAGACGGATAGCATTAAGATACGAAGCAAGACGGACAGTTTGAATCCTAACTCGTTAACCGACTCCAGCCCACCCTGGAGGATCGATGCTATTACGATAGTGGCAGTATCACCAACCAGACGCTTATACAGTCACGGTACGGAGACTGGAACAGTCTATATCGTCGACTTGCATAGGGAGAAAGTTATCGACACCCATACGCTAAAGGGCCCACCGAGTATTGAGAAAATGCGCTGGAGCGACGACGGGCGATACCTTTGCTTCTCCGATTCTGCTAAAAAGATCTGTATTAAGTTGATAAATCCGGGCGCAGGTACTTCAGAGCCAACTGCGGAAACCAAGGCGGAGATTTCAGTGAGGAATATGGCGAAAGGCCCGATCACACAATTGCTTTTCCAACCCAATTCGATGGCTGTCTTGGTCTTCACTTCCACCACAGCCCACGCGATCTCAACCTCGACACTATCGGTAACTCGATCGGTAGAATTCGACGCAGCTGAATACGAATGGATTGCGCACCCGGAAGACCCGGAGCTAGTGGTTGGATTTGGGACAAAGCGAATATATATTATGACTTGGAACTTGACTCATACACAGTCTTACGTGGTCAACCTGGAAGGCCACCCGGACCATGCTATTGTGAACAGAGTACTCGTCACCCAGGATAAAGAGCACTTGCTAGTCCAAACATCTTCCCAAAACCATAACTCAAGGGAGAAGAAGGCATTGCATTATTTGAAGGCCTCCGACTTATCGATACCACCAACAGCCCCAAGCAACGATCAGGAGAGCGACCCGGTGACGATCACCCCAATCACACTCCCCAAAGAGGTATCATCAGAGATTGCGCTGCCACTCCTATTTCACTCTAACAGACACCTCACGTTTCTCTCCAGAGACTCTTCGGTCTACGCCTGGAAAGCCCCGTCTGATCCTGGGTACCTGGGGACGACGCTTGTCAGTAGTATGGTTGCTGGATCTGATAATTCTATTATAAAGCAGTCTAAGGAGCTTTTCGTGCTGCCGGGGGATTGGATCAATAGAGACAATTTGTCTTTATGTGTTATCTGGGATGCGGAGAAGTCTTTTCTGTGCCCGAGGAATGGGGAGGTTGCTGTTGTTAGGTGTCGGGAGTTGGGTTAATTCTTTTATTCCTAATGACCCTCATTACTTAAATCCTAACAGTTGCATTTTTTAACTGCATAGTACCTAGGTCCTAGGTACTTGTTAAAGTAACCCCTTTTCTGCTAACCTCATTCATGTAAGCCGTTTCAACCAATTAAACCTGCCCAATTCGCACCGAGGATGCGATTACCAATAAATACGCCGCTACTGCTCCAATTTATCGACCCGCCAGTTCGGAACTCCGACTTCTCGGAGCTACAAAAGTCGGAGCTACGTACAGTACAGCCGGCAAGTCGACGTAATGAACGAACCGCACGCACACAGATTAGAAAATGCGCAAAGCCGAGAATCCTAGACGTTGTTGACATGGCTTCAACTAAACATACTAACCTAGTTCTCAAGCGGGTTGCGAACCTGTCTTACAATTGCCATGTCTTTGCGACCGTTAGTTAGAGCGATTTGGTGGAGGCGCGCCGCCTCATCACGAATAAGTCATCAAATTTCACTTGAGACGACAGCCCGACGACGTTTGAATACGGTCCCGAAATGCCCGGAACCGACGTGCGATTGTGCTGATACGCCGTCGATGCCGTTGGGAAAGGGTATCGATAAAGATGGCAACCTGAACGGCCTCATAGCATCCTATGCGCAACAGGTCTTGATATGTACCGGTAAGGATGACTGGTCGTCGCGCATAGAAGAGGATAACAGCGGCGATAACTTGGCTGCCGACCTCAAGGAGTTGATCGGTCGGGGAGGAATGTACAGCGATGTGAGTTTGGTTGCTTAATCCCTAGAGGACTGTTCCCAAATACTCTGGATACTACATAGTATATCAATAGCCACGTTAGCTAACGCAAGAAAATCTATAGCCTTTCCATAACATATCCGTCGTAAACGCCTCGTTCCCCTCCGCCATTTCGACGCGGCCCGAGGTGCAAACCACATCTGTCTACCTCGTCCCCAGCTTCAAATACATTCCGTTCCTCCCGAGGGTATCGTTTGACTCTGTACAAGCTCTAGTGAAGGGGTATCTACTACCGGAGAAGCTCCATCCGATGAATGAGGGACTATCGCCTATACATAAGGACCGGCTATTGCGGAAAGAAGCATATCAGCAGTTGCTATACGGCGTGCGCGATGTTGAGGATGTACTCGTGTTGATCTGCGGGCATGGACAACGGGATACGAGATGTGGCATCTACGGGCCCATCCTGCAAGAAGAATTCGAGAAGCAGTTGCCCCGGGCAGGAATAGATGTCCTTCACGGGCCGGCGATAGACGAGAGTGTATCGGCACCGCCGCTCCCTGGTAGCACAACAGGGACAGAAACGCCACGCACAGCGAGGGTAGGCCAGATCAGCCACATCGGAGGGCACAAATTTGCCGGAAATGTTATTATTTACCTGCCGCCGACCCTCACAAACAGCGCGGGTAATCCGCACCCGCTTGCCGGCCACGGAATCTGGTACGGCAGGATAGATCCAAAGCATGTAGAAGGCGTGATTAAGGAGACCATTATAAACGGCAACATTATCACAGACCATTTTAGAGGTGGGATCAACCAGAATAGCGAGCTTATTAGATTATAGAGAGGGATTCGGAACTGACGGGATGTCGCTTCGTTCGATAGACGCGCGATCTTGTACTATACTTTACATACCTACGCCATTAAACCTCAACTCATGAACATAGACCATAGCCTCACAATACAAGATAAACTATGAGAGGCGTGCTACCGGATTGGAAATAAATAAGTACCTATACTTATATTAAGTGACATTGTTTTAGTTCTCAATTAAGGAGGACTTCGCGGGCTTGAAGCTGCATGATAGCCAAGTGCCATTGATTCATTACGGCTGGCACTGTGCGGTATAACAGGGTGTTCCAGCTGGCACCCAATAAATAATTTTGATAGCTTGGATTTCACACTTACACCTCACCTCACTTACATAAACCCAGCTCACTCAACGAGCTTATACTAGATAGTATCTACAACACGAGCTATAAGCGTGTTCTTACCAAACTGACATTCGAGAGGTTCAGTATGAGTTAGAATAAATGAGTCCTTCATCAACAACAATAAGATGCGTCGGCCGGACAGTACCGCGCCTGCTCCCGGGGTCCCAGGCCTTCCGCCTTAGACCTCTACAACGAGCCGTTCCGAGAAGCTGGCAGTTAAGCAAGACTCTTTATTTTCCGCACAGCCGCCGCTTCTCAAGCCTCCCACCGGGGAAAAACACCGAACCCCAATCTCCACCAATAAACGAGCCGCAAACAGCCCAACAGCAGCAGCAGCAGCAGCAGCAGCAACCACCACCGCCGCCGCCCCCAAAACAACGCTCAACATGGCGCGCGCAGATCCTCTTCAACCTAGCCGGCATCAGCGGCGTAATCATCACGGCAGTCGTGCTCAAGAGCATACACGCCCAAGACGGCGCTGCCAAGAACGCCCCCATGAACACCACCTCCTTCAGCCCCTTCACCATCACCGCCAAAGAGCAGGTCTCGCCCACAGCCTTCGTGCTCAGCGTCCGCGCCGAGCAGCAGCAGAAACCACCACCACCGGCTCGGAAGAACGGAGAAGAGAGTTCTTCTTCTTCGTTGTTGCGCCGGTCCTGGGACCACGGTCTCTGGTCCGTCGAGATCAAGCAGCCGCAGTTGCAGATCGCGCGGCATTATACGCCGTTGCCTCCGACGAGTCTGTCGATTGCCGGTGGTGATGGAGAAGGGGAGGAGGAGGGGGAATTGCGGTTTCTGATCCGCAAGGTCGACGGCGGCGAGATGTCGACGTACCTGTCGAAGCTGCGCGTAGGCGACAAGATATGGCTGCGGGGCCCGCACCTCGGGTTCGATGTCGCGCGGCGGCTGGGCGATGCCGGCAAACGAGTCGTGTTTCTTGCCGGGGGCACGGGGATAGCGCCCGCGTTGCAGGTTGCGCGGCGGGTGCTGGACGGTCACGGCTCGGCGACTTTAGGGGAGGATAAACCTACCGTCTCGATCCTGTGGGCGAATCGGTACGCTGCCGACGCGCTAGGGCGGCAACAACAACAGAAGCAGCAGCAGCGTTCATCTAATAAGACCGATCGGCATGCCTTACAAACACCAGCAGAGTCGTCCCTCGCGCTCCAGATCCGCGAGCTACAACTCAAACACCCCGGCCACTTCCGCATCTCGTACTTCGTCGACGAGGAAAGACATTTCATCAAAGAACAGGATCTCCACCTCGCTCTAACAGACTCCTCCTCCTTCTCCTCCTCCTTCTCCTCCTCCTCCTCCTCATCACCAACCCCCATCCTCCCCGCCTCCCCGTCGTGTCCATGGCATTCTCCAGCGCAGCTCGTAGCCCTTCCCGACGACAACGACGCCGGACGACATTCTTCGCCTTGTACCTGCGCACGGGACCACCCATCATCATCTTCTTCTTCCCCGCAGACCAAGACAGGCGCAGATCTGATCTGCGTGTCCGGGCCGGACGGCTTTGTGGCGGCGTACGCGGGGCCGAAGCGCTGGTTTGGGGGAACCGAGAGGCAGGGCCCCGTGCGTGGGATGCTGGAGAAGATAATGCGGGATGGGGGAGGTAAGACGGGAGGGGCGGGGCGGAATTGGCTTGTTCTTAAGTTGTAGATAGGTGGTATAATGCCGGAAAGGGGGGGAAGAAGTTTATGTAGTGTGCAGGCTGAGCTAAGGGGGATGGATATTATATAGAATTCGCTCGCCCGGCAAGGTGATTGATTGCGTGTATTATTTATATAAGGGGATTTATCTAGGGGAAAGGGCCAGTGTGGGATATAGAACGTGTATAAGACGCGCATGGGTTTATAGATGGATGTATGAAGGGCGTAAAGTACCTATCTATTGTGCTACGTTATCTTATAGGGTGTATAAGCTATAAACTATAGATTTTAAGATGTAGATCTCACAGTTATAAAAAAAAAGTCCCAACCCAAGTTAATCAAATTAGCATCTAGACTACTAGATATATCCCGTATTCCTATAACCAATGTAACTTAAAGCTCACATATGAAACCACTTTAGACTAGTTGCTTGATGACCAGTTTTATGTCTATCAACTTGCGTCTCATTCTACAAGTAATCTATAGTCCACCTATCCAGCAATTTCACACCTAAAGCAACTTATAAACTTCAAAGCCAGCATTACTACCTATTTATCTACAAATCCGTTTTGAACCTTCAAATGCCCCAACCGCACTCGAAAAAAAGTAAGACGCCACCGCCATATACTCCTAAACTCCTACCCGCAGAGTACCACTCACTCACCCACTCACATGCTATACGAAGACACATAGTACTAGAACGCATCAGTACACCACAGCACACCACGATCCTCAAAAACAAGCACACCAATGACAGGCAATAAGAAGGGGAAAAAAACTCACCGTAACAACCGAGTCCTCCGCCCCCGTATCATCATACTGCGGCACATACACATACATAATCAGCGCATGATCATCCGCAAAACACGCAATGACCCGGCCCTCCAAGCGTCCCACGCTAAGCACCTTACTCCAGTCCTTCCCATCCACCCTTACAGTCGCCCACTTCTCCGGCCCCGCCTCGCGGAACCGCGTGCTAGGGTGGTCCTCCAGCGCGCACGGCAGCTGCGCGGGGTCCAGCTCCGGGTTCTCGAGCCCGGACCACCGGCTCTCGACGTCGAGGGTGTCGGTGTCGAGGCGCAGGCGCAGGCCGCCGTGCATGTTGGCGCTGAGCTCGAGCTTGGGGGAGTAGGACGACGAGGGCGCGGACGCTGCTGGGTTGGAGGATGTGGAGGCGCGGGAGGCTAGGGCTAGTTTGGTGAAGCGGTCGGAGATGGCTTTGAGCTGGAGGAGAGGGGGCAGTTGGATGTGCACGTCGGGTTCGCGGACTTTGGGCTGCATGATGGTTTCCACGGTGTCGGGGTGTAGGACTCGCACGGGGATGTCCTGCGTGATGATCTTTTCGCGCTCGCGGTGCAGGTTTGTCTCGAGGGGTTCGTGGGCGAAAACTCCGTCTTCGTCGTCGTAGTTTTCTCGGCTCCCGACGCTGGGGTTGGCGCCTATAGCGCCGAGACGAGCTACGCCTTGGGGCTCCTTGGTCGGTGCGGCAGTGGTGGTGATTGTCATCGATAGCACGGGTATACCGTCTTTCTTGGTCAGGCGGATGGACGCCGAGACCCCATTGAGAGCGGACTTGAGGGCGCGCTGGAGAGGTCCAAGAGGTAGTTCGAGGTTGATGGTGTTGTTCGGTTCGGCGGATTGGAGGGCATAGTTGTCGAAGATGAAGTCCATAGAAAACGAGCTAGATAAGACGGTATGGTCAGACTCTGGTCGCGCAAAGATTAGAGTATAGAAGGGTCTACGAACGCCCAAACTTGCGACCCGGTATCCGGGATCACGGTGAAACGAACGGTATCATCGTCAAGACGCAACCATGCGATCTTCTCGAGGGACGAAAGAGCGGCCACCAATTCTAGATAGTTAGGACAAGAATTAGAAACGGGCATATATTTCGAACATGTTCCAAGCTAAGCTCACTCGAGAATGTGCGCGTGTTCTTGAGATCCGATCTGAACCTCATATTGGCTGTATCTTCAAAAGGCAATGCACTACCACCACCACCATATCCTCGGTACGACTATGTGAGGAACCTGTCATGTAAGACGGGGACGCGACAAACAACCGCGCAAACAAAAGTTGATCGCGGATAAGAAATGGATATCGACGGCTCGTGCTCCAGAATGATAGCAATTCGTCAGTAATCCGTATTAATTAGCTTAATCGATAAGCCTAAAAAGCTCGCTAATCCTAGTTGATCCTAGTAGGTATGTTTGTTTATAGTGCGGGGTAAGCGATATGCTAGCTACCCCCTGCCGCCCCCATCCAGCTTCCCGTTCAGGAACCAAAGAACCAAGGAAAGTGGAGGAAATCCGAGCCCCTCCCCCCAGCTCCCACCCCCGCCTACGACGTTATCGTTAACGAAAAAAACAACGAGAGTGGAAAAATACCCCGCCATCAGATTCAGCTGTACATATGCAAGAGGTACATACACTACATATGTAGCAGGGAAAACGGTAGAATGGATTGGGCAACTAACTCGACAAGTAAACATCACGTAGATATCCACCCGTTCACCTTGCCCAGCAAAGATTCCTATAGCCTAACCGAATTCATAATGCAATCGCGCAGATCAAATACCAAAACCGGGCGCTATTCCGTGTAGACCTAGCCTAAGAACTCCTAAGCTTCCTTATGAACCGTGCACTCCGGCTATGCGATAGATTATTCGCTATAGCTATACATAGCTTCCGTTATCAAGTAAGATGGGTAGACAGATCTAACCCATGATACGTCAAAACATCAAGAGACTGCAAAGAAATCCATCCTTCCGTCCATCCATCCATCCAGCCTGTGATCTATCCCTTCCGCCCCACCTAGCCCGTAGGCCATACGCTTAATGCTGTTAAACATTAAAGTAGTCCTTTATATGCTGAGACGTCTATTATACCCCGGAGGCGGCGTCGAGTGTCGAGGCATCCGGCGTGACGAGACATGCGGCGAGACGCAGAAGACGCTTCGTGGATGTCCCTCCTCGTGAGGGTCAACGCCCACATGAATGACGGTGGTGCGGACGTTGTTCGTGGATCTCTTTAGTCCCGGTATGATGGACTTGATAGCGGCTGCAGACCGGCCGCCAGCGCTAGTGGAAGATCCGCCTGTGTCTTGCCGTCCACGCTCCCTAATCCTGCTGCGCAGCCGCTCCTCGAAGTCGGCATTCTCGGCACAGGTTCTACACTCGCCAACCACCTGGGCTCGGCGACGAGGTTGGGGTGGGGGACGGAGTGGATGACCCGGTCGTCGCGTAAGGCGGCGACGGACCTGGTGGCGTCGCGGAGGTGGTGGCGGGGTTCGAGGTGATTGCCAATCCAGGTGAAGAGATGGGAAGGGTGGGGGACTTATCAAGTGTCCGCAAGGATGCTTGGCCGTACTTCGGCAGATGGGGCAGCTCGGATTGATATTCGGATCGCGGTTGACAGATTCTTGTAGCCAAGTTTGGATGCAGTGCGTGCCAAACTTATGACCGCAGTGTAGTTTGGTCCATGATTCAACGATGCCCTCGGGATTAGCGATACCGACGGGATCGTGACATATAGGGCATTCTTCACGAGGTTCAGGTAACGACTGCTTCTTATTCTTGGGGCAATTATCATCTTGTGCGTCCGAAGCTATCGGGTTGCCATTGTTGCTCTTTTTTGGCAACAGCTTCTTTAGAAGCTTTAGGCCGACCTTGGGTATTATCTTCATGGTTGGTGGGTCGCTGATTGGGACTTCGGATAACGCGAAGTAGTAAAGAACAAGGTATATGTATTTGAATGAGAGGAGAAGTAGAAGTAGGAGGAATTGATGGCAAGGCTGTAAGCCTGCCCGCCTAGTAAAATTCTGGGTCGCAAATGTAAATGTAGGTATACAAGCGTGAAAGTATTGTATTTGACCTGGGATACGCGATAATGTCGAGGGAAATTCAAGCGAGCTGTAACCACAGGCTACAGTATACGTCCGAGACCGTACACACACAGTTAACTCAAGTAAGCTGTTAGCCTGTTTCGGCTTTTGACTGGGGAATCCGGTCCAATCAATGGACAGTGCAAGTAAGACGCTTTTGCTTTTCGAGACAGACCTGACTGTATGTATTCCGTATGTTTGCTTGTTTGTCGCTTCTCTCGTAACTTGCCGTCTGCAACTTGGGTTGACCTTGATGCGACGGGAATATTTCGGTCGGGTGTACGGTGGAATAGCTCACGATTACGGAAGTATCATGCAGTCGCGAGGTTTAATACCTAGAGATTAAGTGTTGAGGGAGGGAAGATCCAGCATGCCCTAATGATGTGATCAAAATGATTCAGATACGGTCGCGGCCAAAACACGATTGGTTGCTAGGCGTCTGCTTTAAGTCGCTCAACGTGTGTCCGGCTGCAGCTTCATCTGTGAACCGGGTAGGTCGAAATAGACTGCTCAAAAGTGTTGCTCAAAAGTGTTGCTCAAATCAGCACTGACCTGTGGACCTGTTGGGCTCGGGTAAGGTCCAGTATTAAAAAAGGAAGAGGATATTGTGAGATCCAATGGTCTTTCTCGTCTGGATTAGGTATATATATGTCTGTCTACCTTTAGTCCTACATAGGGTTTTCACCATATTAGATAGGTACCTAAGCACCTTGGTAGTAGGTATAAGAGAACGAATGATGAAATAACTTACACCAAATACGAGTTTGCATTATACCTGCTACGTCCAGGTATAACCTGATATAATATCGATGGCTGACAGGTTAATCAGGTAACTAATTAAGTCAAGTCTTCCTTCAAAGCATCATGTGCGCTGAATTATATCGTAGTATACCTGGACCCCAAAGGCAGATAAGCGTCGCATGTTCATGTTATTTACCGTTTAGAGCTGTCCGAATTCGTGGTGGTTGCCAGCATGCGAGATAAGACTGGAATGTGATGCTAACCACGTGCAAGTCAGGCGCAATTATATTCATTAGCACGTACATAACTGCGTCGATGTACATACGTACGTACATGTAACTTACATGCCATACCTGCCTCCATATATGCTATGTAGATGCAAGCGCGGGTAGAGATAGACTACTACGTAGGCAGGTGCGTCAGCTAGGAAGCTACATATGTTCAAGTCGGTCATTCCGCATGCGGCTTCGAAAGTCCCTTCCCTTAAGATTTGGCAATTGCTTCCACTCCCGCGCTAACCTCCGTAATACTCGATCAAGCTTTCGGGTGTTGGGTGGCTTAGGTAAAGTGACACGAAACCTTTTTAGTATCTGGTCGGGACGTTTATGTACTGAATTCAACGGTAAATATACATACATATGCACCCAAGGCCACTTTTGTCACTCCTTTCCCATCACCTCAACTTTGCTAAGTCGTATTTGAAATAACTACCATAGCGGCAGAATGTAGGTTCGTGGAATGGTTCCAACCTATTACAATAATTCTATGTATAATAATATTTTAATTTAAACCAAATAATTCTATAAGGCTTATAATAATTTTATAAGGTTTATAATAATTTTAAAAAAGTTAAAATGATTTTATAAAGGTTAAAATAATTTTAAAAGTATGGAATATTTAAAAAAGTGGGTTTAAAAGTTAAAAAAAAGCTAAAAATTTAAAAAGATTAATTTTTAAACTTATAATTCCCGCGTTTATATTATTTTATAGTAAAGTGTTTAAACGTTTAAATTAATAAAATAAAGTAGTTAATTTTATCGAATTAATATGAAAATTTAATTAATTTTTATTTTTATAAATTTTATATTAAAAAAAACTTAATAATTTTTATTTAAAAAAAAATATAATAAAACTATTTTATTTTTAAGAATTATTCCGATATTTACGAAATAATTTTAAACTTTTACCCATTTTTATTATTTATTATTTAATTAAAGGTTTTAAATTTATAATAAGTTTTACATTTTATTAAACTATTTTAATTTTAATAATTATTTCACGAAATTACATTTTACCGCTATAATACTTATTATAACGGTAAAATGTAAATTCGTGAAATAGTTTTAATTTATTATAATAATTTTATGTATAATAATGTTTTAATTTAAATTAAATGATTTTATAAAGCTTATAATAATTTTATAAAGTTTATAATGATTTTAAAAAGGTTAAAATAATTTTATAAAAATTAAAATAATTTTAAAAGTATAAAATGTTTAAAAAAATAAGTTTAAAAATTAAAAAAAAGTTAAAAATTTAAAAAGATTAATTTTTAAACTTATAACTCCCGCGTTTATATTATTTTATAATAAAGTATTTAAACGTTTAAATTAATAAAATAAAATGATTAATTTTATTAAATTAATATAAAAGTTTAATTAATTTTTACTTTTATAAATTTTATATTAAAAAAAACTTAATAATTTTTATTTAAAAAAAAATATAATAAAATTATTTTACTTTTAAAAATTATTCCGATATTTACGGAATAATTCCAGGTTTTTACCTACTTTTATTACCTATCATCTAATTAAAGGTTTTAAATTTGTAGTAGGTTCCATATTTTATTAAGCCATTCCAATTTTAGCAATCATTCCACGAAACCACATTTTGCCGCTATGGTAGCCTAGGTAACAGGTTGGTTTCGAGCATCTGCTGGTCATCGAGAAGTTGCTATGAAGTTACTTTTTATGACCATTAAAGGCTGCATGCCGGCCAGATTGACCTAGGGATCATCCGTGCAGACTTATATGCCGATAGATACGCTCATCTTAAATGACATGCTGGCTTCTTTGTTATCTCATAACAGGCGTCCAATGCAATGATGCTATCGTGGAAATAGTGTATACAACTTGATGTTGGTTTGGATGTGGTTTACTAGGCCATATGTTAGATAGGCATCTGTTTTGAATAAATCAAGATTATTTCTAGAACAGTTTTAGGAAAATGATAGGTTCATATTGTCTAACGAGACATTAGCGTTTATAAATATCATACGTTACGTTCAGAAAAGTAATAATCACCTAGTTGAGATGACTTGTCTTATCTTAATAGATCCAATACCTATTCCCGAAATAGCATGAATCAACCTATGACTTCCGATACAACCTCATTGCATCAATTAAGCGCTAGTTGCAGCAGTCGGGCATTATCTGTTCGACATATAGAATCATCCGACAGGCTTAGTATATGTCGTCCCAAACTATAACGCTACCTAGGTATCCACAAAAGGAGGTAGTATTCTCTGCGTATTGAAATACTGCCCGTCACTTGTTTGGGTAAGAAGTAAAGTTAGCAAAGTTAGCTTGGTCTGGGGTTTGCGAGGACTGTCAGTTTATTCCTCGATAATCTATGGGAAATGCTTCATGATGGTGTCTACCAACGTATAAGTCACCCCGTCATGTCTATCCAGTAATATGGACTCGAGCAGATAATTGAACCCATCTGACATAATAAACCCTGAACGTCGCTCTCGAAACAAACCACCTATAGTTAGAGACATGCATAGGCCGAGCCCTAAAGAATGAAGATCCATTCGAAACCCCAAACTCACTAGACTTGTTTACAAGATCCTCCTGCGCCGCGCGTTGCAGTATAGCTGGTACCAAGCAGAATTATGACCAATTAATAATGTAGTAGTTTTCCAACGCCTTCCCATGTATTAAAACAGCGGCGAATCATTTCGCCCAATGATGGTGTAGTTATTCCAAAGCCGTATTGCTAATATCATCATCTAACAACGGGGGTCGTTACCGCCTGCTTTGACGCGCGTCGTTTTCCTCTTCGCTATCATCTCGGAAGCCTTCCTCTAAACTAGGTCCTTGAAATTAGCCCTGTGTTCTAATGTAAAACTGCAACAGTTTAGACAGTGGGTTTCCTTAACCTACTCTCTGCTTAGTCTTCTTGTGCTGTCCGCACGCTCGGGATCGTGGGTATCTAACGATAGCGCGTGCCGGCGATCATCGTCGACTTCGTCCAATTCTTCGCCTTCTTCGGAGCTGAAACCTATATCGGATGCGTCATCGGCTCCGACTACCACGCGATCATGCATATTAATGCGCCACCTCGATGGGACCATCCATCGGGCTATTGCATCTTGCACCCTGACGCGCAGGGATACTGTGTGGCTCGAGATCGTGTCGAGAGGGAGGTATTGGCTATAACGCGCATGGTAATGCCGCCATAATGGGACAAACACGTAGGTGGATAGGAGAAAGAGGATGAGGGAGATGACGGCGGGTATTATAAGCGTCTGTAAGAGTTAGGTTTGCGACAGCTCATTATGTATAAGTCATAGCTCAAACTGACCTTGATTACGGATATTGTGGTGCTCATCATGCTGGCGGTACTGCGCAATACTCCTTTCTACCAGGAGGACATGATATGAGGTCAAGTCTGGTAGATTCTAAAACCGGGCTGATCCGACTCTGCAATCCGCGTTCGTGTGCGATTATTAGTTGTAAGGGAGAGAAAGAATCGACAGAGACTGTTTATATAGAGCTATCAGAAACGGCAAGTCTCGGTAACAAGCACGTCTTCTGCACCACGTAGAAGCTCTGCATAAGTTTGCCTCTTTGTTCAATTGTATTTTGGTAAGGCTGAAGATGAAGATGGTTACGTACGTCTCGGCACGCGCAGTCGCAACTTCCAGCTCCCCCATGTCAGTGCTTACATAAGTATAAGTAGCGGTATCCACCCTTCTCAGATACAGGTTATTTTCAGACTTCTTTGCTATTGGCCGAATTGCTTTCGAAAGGTAGGACAGCGCTACTTTCACGGGTCACTTCTCACGGGCCGCTTATCATATATAATATCTAAGCTTAAACAACCTTGCTGTCACTTCGTATTGCCGGTATTGGATATTATTTTGTACTCTTGTGTAATTTCTCGGTATCTTGACTGATATTCTTCTGTGTCTACTGGCGTGGGTAGGGTTGAGGTAATAATCACATCTGTAAGTCAGTAATAGCGATAAGTATTCATAATCCTAGTATATGCATAGCAAGCCCCGCGATTAGTATAGGAAAATAGGTAGAACGGCTATCGTCACCCTGAATCCTTCTAGATCCGACATGGAGTACTCTAATAGTCTACCTTAAGCGCTTAGCTATCCTACACTAAGTACACATAGTGTAGTAACCATCCCCTGACTAGAACCGAGGGGCCAAAAAGAGTAGAACAGACACTACTACGAAATTACCTTTTGGTGGTATAGTGGTGTGTTCGACAGTATGCAGCCCCTTTTCTGCGCATCGGCTAAAGACTTCTTCACGAGCTTAGGCACTTTGTAGATGCCCTCTTATATACGCACTATAATGTGTCTACGCCAACATTAGCCTCCATTCTGAATTATGTCTACCGTCTCTGCGTCTACGGTACACTTCTAATCTGTGGCATCAAGTGCCCAAGCAGCCGGGGACCCAGGACCTCTCCAGATCGCATCATTATCGCCATCGCAATGTGGGATCTTCCAGGGGTTCATGTTCCACTTGATGTTTCAGAATCGTCCACACCTTTCTATGGTGGCATTGTGGGATTTATCGATTTTTTGAAATATTTCCACATTACGACTTATACAAGATATGTACCATTGAAGAATTATTAAAAATGAAAATGGTGTTTGTTAAAACAAATCGCTAATCTGATTGATCATTGCTTAAACGTTAGCGCTACTGACAGGTCTTATCGCTCTCTTACTGCATGTTATGTACATGAAAGACCCCTGATTATTGTAATTGCAAAAATTGGATACCTCCTGAGTCTTTTGTCCTCAGCTGAACTCTCTCGCTTTAAGACAAATTCATACATACGGGCTTATCGCAAATTGGGGGGGCTAAAAGATGGGAAATGGTCAACGTGTAAATTCAATTGGTAATCGGCTTTGTACCCTACAAGTTGCATCCTACCTCCCACAAGCCAACCACAAGTGCTCGGCATTATGTATGGTACCTACTGCGACATTGCACAACATTGAACCCGCAACCCGCAGCCTGCAACCTTGCGTCCAGGCGTCTCATCAGACGGTAGCAACCTCCTTTGAGCAACAATATCACATCCCGATAACTACAAACCACTATGACCACTTCTTTCCCGCCCCTACTTTGAATTCGAATCGTTCAGCAACTGACGTTTGCCGACTCAATAACGAAGAACTGTTGACCTTTAATTTTTTTTCTTCCTCTCCTTCTGCATTTTATGTAGTCTAGCGCCGTATTCAGTTCTATGTGCGTACGGCCCCCCCTTCTTCATTGCGCATTCTCTCCTTTCACTAAATCATTTTGAATTCGACACACAAAAAAATACCCTTGTATTCGCCTGCAATGCTTCATCGCCAAATATAATGCTAATACCACCACACATTAATGCAGGCCTTCATTCGATCCTAGATCTGCAATTTCAACCTGTATATTCCTTGCCGACTCCATATTCTTCGCCGGAGAACATGATGCAACTCATCCAACATCTCCAACATCCAATACACTGACGGCACGAATCCGATATCCCCCATAGGTTTCGATTGCTTCATTCGCCTCGTCCTAAAAATCGAATCTAAACGTTCGGCTACTGGGTAAATAGATCATCAATAGAAAGCGACTAAAGCGCCGGCGTCTTAACGCGCCCTCTCCGCCTCACGCAGCCATGTCGTCCGGTGGTAAGGGCTTCTTCTCTAGGAGTAAACATAGGAGTGATAAGAGACACACTGGCAGCGAAGAAGGGCGATACCTCGGTTTGGATAATGATTCCTCGTCGCGTATCTCTCGACATGTTAGGGACTCGTCGATAGTATCGCTCGACCGTCCGAGCTCTCCCGAAACCGGCATTAATACCAACGCCGGTGTGATTACTGCCATCCCATATGACAGCACGCATGCCGACCAACGAAGTCCAATACCTGTCGAATACCTTCCTCGAGGCGAGCAGCCACCCGTGCGCCGGGATCTTCTACCCCAGCCCCATCACTTGAATAAAGGCACCGGTGACTTCCATCAGTATCCATCTTTCGATACGGCCTCGATTGTAAGCGTTGCCAGTTCTCAGCACTCGGTTCAGCAACGCCCCAGTACTGGTAACGGCGGGAATGTCACAATGGCGTCTACTGGTCGACAGCCTCAATTCCATCAGTGGGGACCAGCCTCGGGCGGTTCCCCAGCGCCTCGTGCAAGCACAGCTTCTTCGATGCAAAACAGCAGCTACAATGAAAGGTGGGATTCTCTACCAGGTTATGGTGTGCCCGGTTTCGGTAGAACATCCAGACAAAGCGACCAATCCAGCGTATTTTCAGCAGGTAATGGAGTACCCCCTAACAGTTACACGAACATGCGCTCATCCAGAACAGCACTACCCAGTGCTACCTCCCAGAGTTCCATTGCATCGCAGCCCTCGAGTAGAGATTCTCATCGCCTAGTCAAACCTCCAGGGAACCCAGTATTTCCACCCGGGAGCGGGGACGGGTTCCCACTCACCAGACCGGACGACGATAGGATTACGGAACAGATGTTCTTCGAGTTGATGAAGAAGCGAGGTTGGCATAATCTTCCGGAACAAGCGCGGCGGCAAATGCAGGCATATCCATCATCCAAAAAATGGACACTTATCTACCAGGATCGTCTGACGGAACTGCAAGGGGAGCAAAAGAGGAGGCAGCAGGCGGCGAAAACAGGAATATATCCGACATCAAATCTTGATATCGCCGCATCCTCTGATGAGGAGGGAACTCCCGAATGGTACGTGCGAAAGGTTATGGATAATACATTGGATTTGAAAGGGTTAGGTAGCCTCGAGGTCAACTTGCGTACTCAGCAAATCGGTTGGGTGAAGCGATTCATCGAATGTCAAGGGCAGGTCGCTCTCACCAACGTCTTGTTGAAGCTCAACCGGAAGAGCGCTGTTGGACCTGCGGCCCCGTCCGACGTAAAAACGAGCGATAAGAATCTCGACAAGGAATACGATATTCTAAAGTGCCTAAAGGCCCTACTCAACAACAAATATGGCGCTGACGATGCGCTCGCCCATCAGCAAGTGGTCGTGGCTCTCGTCACGTCGCTCATATCACCGAGGCTTACGACACGAAAACTAGTCAGCGATGTGTTATCTTTCCTATGCCACTGGGACGGGGGCGAGGGTCACATAAAGGTGATCCAGGCTATGGATGTAGTGAAGAGCCAGCAGAACGAAAATGGCCGCTTCGACTCCTGGATGCGACTCGTCGAGGTCACCGTAGACGGGCGAGGGAAGATGGGCAGTCTCGTCGGGGCCAGCGATGAAGTCCGCAGTGGCGGTATCGGCATGGAGAACCTCTTGATGGAATACGCAGTTGCAACGCTCATCCTCGTCAACTCGATCATCGATGCGCCCGAGAACGACCTCCAGCTACGCATGCATATCAGGGCGCAGTTCGGCGCTTGTGGGATCAAGCGGATCCTCACGAAGATGGAGGCGTTTCAATATGACTTGATAGACAAGCAGGTCGAGCGGTTCCGGACAAATGAGGCTATCGACTATGAGGATATGCTTGAGCGGGAGAATAGTAGCATGAAAGATAGTGTCGAGGGCGAGGTTAAGGACCTCAACGACCCGACCCAGATCGTGGACGCCATTCAGCAACGACTCCAAGGCTCTAAGACACATGACTATTTCATATCCGCATTGCAACATCTGCTTCTGATCCGAGATAATGACGGAGAAGAGCGGTTGCGCATGTTCCAGCTCGTCGACTCGATGTTAAGCTATGTGGCCATGGATCGGCGTCTGCCGAACATGGACCTCAAGCAAAGCTTGAACTTCACGGTCCAGAGTCTTTTAGATAAGCTACATACAGATTCCGAAGCCAGGCAAGCTCTGGACGAGGCCTTGGAGTCTCGGCAGATTGCCGATGCTGCCATGGCAGAGCGGGATGAGATGAGAGCTCAGTTAGAACTTGGTGCGGACGGTCTCGTTGCTAAGCTACAAAGACAATTGGATGAGCAAGCTCGCTTCATCGAAGCCCAGAAGCGCCAAGCAGATGGCCTTAAAGCTGAAATCGAGAACATGCAGACGGTGCGTGCTAAGGAAGCGCAGCGGTACGAGCTGGAAACGAGAGAACTTTATCTTATGCTTAGGGACGCCCAAGACGTAGCCGCCTCTCAGGCCGTCAAGGGCGTTTCTGGGAACAAGATGGCCGATGAGGATCCTGCTCGAATGCAAGGTATTCTAGATCGCGAGAAGCTTATGGACCGACTTGCTATGCAGCTCGAACGACAGAAGACCCAGTACAAACTCGAGGGTAGAGTTTGGGGCGATGCTATTGGCCCTTCAGACCGCTTGCGTGCACTACGTGAGGAGATGGAAGGCTATGCAGAGAGCTACCCCGAGGCACCGGAAGGCGCAGGACTCCCACCGTCTGGTATGCTTGGGACAGTCAACAGACACACGAGGTTGTCCAGGAAGCCCGTCGGCTCGGCAGGACAGCATATCTCCGGCGCTGACGAAGGCGTCACCGAAGGTGACGATGACATTGTATACGAGAAGCCAAGAGTCGTCGAGATTAGGAGGCCCGTCATGGATCCCAAGCAGGCTGCCAGCCTCATGTCGGAGATTCAAGCGAAGGGCAAGAGGGACGATATTAGCGACTCCGAAGATGGCGCGACAACCAACCCATCTCACCCAAGCCTCGAGTCGCAGTCACCCATCACCCCAAGCGAAGTTGAGCCGCCTAAGATTCAAGTTAGCGACACGGCTGCTCCCCCTCCTCCTCCTCCACCTCCGATGCCAGGCCAACTTCCCGGAGCACCACCGCCGCCTCCGCCTCCGCCTCCACCTCCATTGCCCGGTCAACTTCCGGGAGCCGCTCCTCCACCCCCACCTCCGCCACCACCTCCTCCTCCAATGCCAGGAATGCTATCACCCTCATCTGCAGGTGGCCCACCCCCTCCACCTCCGCCGCCTCCTATGCCTGGAGCTCCAGGAGGAATGCCTCCCCCTCCTCCGCCAATGCCTGGTGCCATGTCCGGTCACTTCCTCTCCGCGCAAAATAACTTCGCATCAGGTCCCACAATCGGCCTCCCTGTTGTCAGGCCGAAGAGGAAGCTCAAGGCCCTTCACTGGGACAAGGTTGATACTCCCGAAACCAGTCACTGGGCAGCGCATGCTCCTTCCGCAGAAGCAAGAGAAGAGAAGTATGCCGAGCTCAGCAAGAAGGGTATTCTGGATGAAGTTGAGAAGCTATTCATGGCCAAAGAGATCAAGAAGCTTGGCGTTGGCACCTCTAAGAAGGATGACAAGAAGCAAATTATCTCTAGCGACCTTCGAAAAGCTTACGGTAAGCTCAATCTCCACATAGCAATTACCAAAACCTATAAAATACTAACTTGATCTAGAAATCGCTTTTGCCAAATTTTCACAGTGCTCTGTAGAAAAGATCGTCCAGATGATCATTCAATGCGACAAGGAGATACTTGACAATCCTGTCGTCATGGATTTCCTCCAAAAAGATGATTTGTGCAACATTCCGGATAACACTGCGAAACTCATGGCGCCATATAGCAAGGATTGGACTGGTCCGGAAGCCAGCAAGGAGAATCGTGAACAGGATCCAAATGAGCTTACCAGACAGGATCAAATCTATTTGTACACGGCTTTTGAGCTACACCATTACTGGAAGAGTAGAATACGTGCGTTGGCCTTGACGAGGAGTTACGAAGCTGATTACGACGAAATCAACGAAAAGATTCATCACGTTGTATCAGTATCGGAGGCTCTAAGAGACTCCGTCTCTCTGATGAACGTGCTTGGTTTGATTCTCGATATCGGAAACTACATGAACGACGCCAACAAGCAAGCGAGAGGTTTCAAGCTCAGCTCGCTCGCCCGCTTAGGAATGGTGAAGGACGACAAGAACCAGTCAACGCTCGCAGATCTCGTCGAGCGTATCGTTCGCAACCAGTACCCCGAGTGGGAGGGCTTCACGGGTGATATCCAAGCCGTCCTTACCGTTCAAAAGATCAATATCGAGCAGCTACAGGCGGACGCCAGGAAATACGTGGATAACATTCGTAACATACAGATGTCACTAGACAGCGGCAACCTCAGCGACCCTAAGAAGTTCCATCCTCAGGACCGTGTCTCGCAAATCGTCCAGCGGTGTATGAAGGATGCTCGCCGAAAAGCAGAACAGATGTCTTTGTACTTGGAAGAAATGATCCGTACATACGACGACATTATGGTCTTCTACGGCGAAGACCCGAAGGACGATAACGCCCGTCGCGACTTTTTCGCCAAGCTTGCTTCCTTCCTCCAAGAGTGGAAGAAGAGTAGAGAGAAGAATATACAATATGAGGAGACGAGACGTAGGAACGAAGCTAGCATGAAACGAAAACACGGCCAGCTCAGGGTCACGGGAGCTGTCGAGAGTGGGCCACCGTCGCCGGCCTCCGCCGGTGCGATGGACTCGCTTCTGGAAAAGTTGCGCGCTGCGGCACCGCAAACAAGAGATCAAAGAGACCGAAGAAGGCGTGCACGTCTCAAGGATCGTCACCAAGTTCGCATCGCCTCAGGCCAGAAAATACCCGACCTCAACGAGTCGCCAGAGGCCGAAACTAATATCAATAAAGAAAGTATCAACGGTATCGCAGATTCTGATAGTAACCCCCTCAGCCCGGACTTCCCATCTCCCAGCGAAGCTCCTTCAACGGCTGGAGCTGGAGATGGAGATGGAGAGGATGGTTTAGCTCAGAGAGCTGCAATGCTGTTACAAGATATGAGAAGCGGTGATGCAGCGGATGACAACGATCCGGAGAAGAATAGTTTGAGGAAATCAGCGGCAGAAGAAAGGAGGGCTAGACGACGGCGGCTGAAGGGCGGCTCCGGTCCGAGCTCCGGTACCGCCGAAACGGACGAAGGTGCCAAAACACCTATACCCGAAGAAACAGCGGCTGAAGTAGCCGCAGAGGAATGAAAGGGCGGCGTGAAAAGCAGTGTCGAATCGAAACCCCACCACTTCCATCTATCCAACCGATACGATATATAATGTCTACAATATATTGCCAAGCCAGCCCCAGGGGAATTGTATGCGGATCATCGTCGAAGGAGCTTTGCAAAGCTATTGTAGAGCAATTCGAAACCAGGGCTCACGTGCGAGCGAAGCCCGGAGCATAAACCTACTGTATAATTACTAGTTTTGAACCTTGGATCGCTAAATCAGTACCTCCGTTTGACGAGGGCTTCGATGCATATGAGCAAACAAGCCCACGATTCGATCAAATGCGTCACCACACTCGCCACGAGTGATTGCCAACCTCGTTCATCTTCAATAAATGTGTATTAGTTACACTTGGCTTGGCGGCAAGATAGTCGAGGCTACTAGAGAAGGGACTCTTTTAGAGGTGCTAAGGAAGACACACGGCCAGACCGGGCCAGATTCCCTTTGTAAGCGGAGGAAAAGGAAGGGGGGGAGTTCTCGGACCGACGGGCCAAACCCTTTTCTCATGTCGGAAGGTGGGCGGGCTTATAAGGGCCGGCGAGGGTTACCTAGTTGGAAGAGCAGGGGAAAGTGTGTGGGAAAAGGGACGTACATACGCATAGTATATTACCTAGGTTTGTAGGCTCTACGATCAAGGGATATCTTAATAATTCGCTTCTTGCTTAACTTGTCTTGTACTTTTATGTGATGCGGTGATGCGGTGATGGTTATACATGTGCAGTGCCCTAAAGGCATAAAGTTGTTTATTTTGGTTGAGTCTACCTTGTCACTGGAACTGCTGTAAGGTTCACTTATTTGAGTGGACGTTGAGAGGCTTGAAAATAGGGGTGCTAGGTATTAAGGCTTCATAATGTGCCGTCATATTTATTATACACGTCTCCGCCACCTACTATGTATAAAATATTAACTTCGTCTAGAAATACAAGGGACAATGCTCATGAACTTCTCATAAAAAGCCTTGAGTCAACAACCCATGGTGTTACTTACTTTCAGTATTTAGAGTAAAGACGAAAAACCTCATCCCAGCATATAGGTATCATCGATGAAATACCTAGGAGAAGAGGGCAAAAAAGTAAAGTTAGCCTGGGTGGGATTTGAACCCACGTCTTTCCAACCTCGACCTCTCATCTGAGGTTATTATCAGAAGCGCGTAATGATGGAATGTGCTCCCACTGCACCACCGGGCTTTTAGTTATTAGGAGGTTCAAAATTTAGGACCATATGCAGCAGCCCTCGGTTCGTTTTAGGCACCCCTATTTCTGTATGTACCTTACGGTATCTATGTATGTAGCCTAGACGACTCTGTATTATCTTGTTTGGACTGCTTGAACACTTATACGGCTACATTGGATCAGCATAATATCGTAAAGATACATTAGATACCTTAGGTACTCTTCCTTAACAAATCCAAGATATCTAGCACAGTCAAAACGAAGCCATTTTCTTACTTACTCCCTCTCCATCTTAAATCCCACCCCTATTCCATACCCCCCCAAACATCTATCTATCCAACTAACTACTCACATATATATCCCCCCCTCCCAGCCTAAAACAACTCATCCTCCCTAACAAGCACCCCCCTATTCAAATCCTCCTTCGCCACGGACCCCACCCCCGATAAATGCAGCGTAAGCTCCAGATCCCCGAGCAAGCTCCGCAGCACATGCGCCACGCCCTCCTCGCCCCCGAGCACCAGCCCGTACACGTACGGCCGTCCGACAAGACACATATCCGCGCCGAGCGCAAGCGCCTTGGCGACGTCGGCGCCGCTGCGGATCCCCGAGTCGAACAGCACTTGGACTTGGGCTTTGCCCTTGCCCTCGCCGCCGTCGGGTGCAGAGGCGTTGACGGCGCGGATGGCGGATACGATTCCTTGTAACGCACCGAGCGAACTCGTGCCCCCGTCTGCCTGGCGGCCTCCGTGGTTGCTCACCACGATGCCGTCGACGAGCCCCGAGGCGGCCATCGCGCGCGCGTCGCACGCGCTCTGGATGCCCTTGAGCACGAGGGGCCCGTCCCAGTGCTGCCGCAGGAAAGACACGTCGTCGAGGGTGTGGTTCGTGCCCGGGAAGATGGTCCGCGTCCATTCTGCCGCCGCGGCGCCCAAATTATCGTCGACGGACACGCCGTCGTGCTTCTCTTTGAAGTGGGACCGGAACGCCGGGTCCGAGAGCCCGATGGCGATGCCGACTTGGTCGGAGCGGAGGAAGGGGTTGTATCTTAGGGTTGATAGGTTAGAACTTGGGGATAGGGGGTATGTATAGCAATAGATAGATAGATAGGGAAAGGTATTGTAGAAAGGGGGCACGGCTTCTCTCACCCGTTATCCATATCACTCGGCCTCCAGCCCAAGATATACGTATCGAGCGTCACCACCAACACCCTATACCCAGCCTTTTTCGCGCGCTCCAGCAACGACACGGTAATATCATCGTGTTCTCTCGCCGGCCAGTATAACTGGAACCACCTCTCCGCCTTCCCTTCCCATTTCCCTTTCCCTTTCCCTCCCTCCTCCTCCGCCCCGGAATCGCTCGCCCGCGCCACATCCTCGATGCTGGAACTACTCGCCGTGCTCAATATAAACGGGACGCCCTCCCTTGCCGCCGCCCTAGCAGCCGCCAGCTCCCCGTCCGGATTCATGATCTTCTGGACGCCGACGGGCGCGCAGGCGATAGGGTACGGGAGCTTTCTGCCCAGCACGTTGACAGAAAGATCCGGGAATACTCCTACTTTTCCGGACTTGTTGTTGTTGTCTTCCCCCTTGCCCCTTATAGCAGTAGTAGTAGTATTCCTTTTGGGGGATCGCCCTAGCTCCAATCGCCGCGGCACGATAGACCATTTCCCGAAAGCCTCCCTGTTCTTGCGCGCCGTCTCCCCCGTGCCCGCGCACCCGAGCACGTAGCCCCTCGTGTCGGCGGACATGCGCTCCGCGGCTAGACGCTCCCATTCGAGGGGCTTGAAGGTGAAGGGGGGTCGCTGGTAGCGCAGTCCGCGCTGGTATACCTCTGCCTCGTAGGCGATGGGGTCCGGGTCGGGGTGTTTCTCTATGTCGGGGCGGCTGCTTGGGTGGGATTGGGATGACATGTTGTGTAGGTGTTGGGTTATAAGCAACAGATGGATGGTATGTAGTAGATAACTAATAGAAATGGGAACTCAGAGTAGAACTGCCATGTAGTTATATGAATACTCGAAACGAGAGCGTTCTTCTACTTCCCACGGGGCCGTCCACCTATACATACTAATACCTCAGTCCCCCGTGCCGTTGGCCGAGACCGAGTCATCTTCTATGCAGGTACAAAGTAAGTTCATCTCCGGCTTATACGCGGATCTACATCGTCATGATGTGTCAGATATTCTATCTGTCCGACATATAAAATACATAATAGGATCAAATCTATTACCGAATAACCTTTTAGTGGTATAGCGGTTTGTTCGACATGATGTCATCTTATAAGCAGCTCCTGTTCTGTTACGCCGTCGATTTGTTTAACGAGATATTCATCGTCTAGGTTAAAAATAATAACCCTAGAAAAGAAGATGGTTCAGATATAGTTATAAGCCTCATATATTGAATTATATACAATATGTTACAAAACTCGCCTTTAAACAAAAAGATGATTTATTACACCGGAATATAGATCTACTTTACCACTACCACCAAAAAGGGGTCCATCAGCAGCTGTTCGGTTTCGCTTCACCAAAAAGACCAAAATACATAAATCCAAAACAGTACCCAATTCATTCTCTCTTAGCACACACGCACCAGCCTCAAAAGCTGGTCGTCTTTTTATTACAAAAATCTCTAGGTCTATATAATACAAGCCGGCAGCGCGCCCATATGTATCCGAGCTTCGAGCCGTAACAGATGTATCAATCAATGTAAGCCTTGCGCCCGCGCCTGTGCCAATCCCTATCACCTCCGTTATGCGTGTATCAGTCAGTCAATCATTTATCACCATTCAATGCGTTCCTTCTTTACTTCGCCATGACGTCTACGTAGCGCCCTGTCTTCTTCGCCTTCTTGCCTCCCTTCCTCGGCCCCGCCGCGCCGAGCAAGTCGTCGATGCTGCTCGCGTTGCTTAGGCTTGTAGCCGGCCTGCTAGGCGGTGCGCTAGGAGGCCCGCCTGGGGCGCTGCTAGTACTCTGGCCCGAGACGGACCGCATCATAGGCGGGGCACCACCAGGAACCATGAGGTTATCGTGGGAAATAGCACTTCTAAGCAGTGTAGGCGCAGGCGTAAGATGAGCACGGGGAGGGCCGGCGGGAGGGGCCCCTAAGCCCCCTGGAGGAACGGATGTAGATCCCGGCGGTGGAGGCGTGGCCGCGGCGCGAGGAGGAGGCGGCGTTGCCGACTTAACAGGAGTGTTTTCAGCACCGGGTTTCTTATTGATCCAGCGCTTGAGATCCGGATCGTATACGAAGCTGCTTGCTTCACCGAGTTTAGCCTTAATTGGTTTATTGGCTGGTTCGAGTGACTCCTTTTTGGCACCACCGCCGAACCATCCTCCAAAGCCCCAGCCTTTCTTAGCCGCCTTCGCCTCGGCAGCGCGTTTTTCTAAAAGTCTGTTAGTAACATGCGGATAAGAGACGTTAGTTTTGTACTCACCCTCTTCCTCAGCAATCTTCCTAACCATCTCCGCGTTCTCCCGGTCTATATCCGCCTTGCTCTTCCCCTGTGGCTTCAGGCCGGGAATATCATCCTCGTCGTCGTCAAAAAAGCTCTTCTTCTTAGGCCTCGACTCGCTGGGAGAATCGCCCTCGTTATCACCCGGACCTGGCTCGTAGGACGGAGGCTCAAAGCCAGAAGGTTGGTATGAAGGTGGTTCGTATCCACCCGAGTAACTTTCGGGTTGTCCTGAAGGAGCCTCGAAGGAGTTCGTCGATGGCGGCTCATATCCGTACGAGGGAGGCTGATAACCCTGCGTCGCGCTGGTGTCATTTACTGAAACTTCCGGTTTCGACTCCGTAGGTGAGGCTTGCGACTGGGAAGCATTGGGGTTCGGCGGGGTTTGTGCGGCTCCATACGGATCGTAACCCGGGAACGAAATTCCAATACCCGTAGGTTGTGGAGCTGAGTCTGATCCTTGGGAGACTGGCATATACGGGGATACCTGAGAGGCGGCTGGTGCTACAGGTTGGTATGCAGAAGTGGACGAGTTATTGTTAGGGGTATAAGGGCTTCCAAACGCAGACTGCATGTCTGATCCTCTTCTTACAGGTAGCTCGAAAGAGCTTCGTGTAATCTCACCCGAGGTCCTTTCCATTGAAGACCTAGGAGCTGGGTTGTAAGCACTAGGTTCGTATGGGTTATTAGAGGATTGAGATGCTAGTGGCGCGTAGCGTGAAGCGGCTTTAGTGGCTGGGAGTGTAGGTGATGGGTTAGCGTTTCCGTATGCTTCGAAGTTCGAGACGGACGGAGACCGACTGATCGTCGGCGTCCCACCTGCAAGACGAGAAAAGGGCCCAGACTCGGCGCCAGCCTCGCCCGACGCTGCATTACCGGAACCATCCTCATCGTCGCCAGCGACAAACTTGTTAAAGCGGCTCCACATGTTGGTAGACACCTGGTCCATCCTAGGCTTCGGGATCCACGAAGATGACTCTTCCTTCGGAGCCTGCTTCAATCTTCTCATAAGATCGTCCACGGCAGATTCCAAAACGGGGTGATAATAAGGCGACCTCTTCGTCTGCGCAGTGATGGCGTTGTAGATACCCTCGCAGTAATGTAAAGCCTTATCTCTAAACCCATGTTCGGCAAGGGTCATAGCATATTGTAGCTTGTAAGCAGCCAAGTGTGGGCAACTCAGAACAGCATTTGAGCCTCCCGCAAGGGACAGCCCATACTCGTACACCTCGCTCAGTTGCAAGGCCTCCGTCTCTTTCGCGAACTGGTCGGCTTGGCGACGATGATCAGCTCCAACAAGGACGAAATTGACGTTAGGGTCATCAAGACCGCCAAAAATAGCAGAATGTCTAGCAAATATGTAGCAGATATGAGCTGCTTCCGCTCTTCCATATCCAGAGAGCAAGTTACCAAGCGACCGTAAGGCCTGAGCATCGCCAAAACTCCTGTTGCTAAGTATTAAGCCAAGTGTCTCGCGCCATTTGTCGAGACCCGCCAATGCATCCCGGGATGCACCAGTAGAAGCCGAAGTAGATATAAGCTGAAGACCTGCCCGCGCATGAACCGGGACGAGCTCGTCTACCGACTCCTCAAAATTTCCAGAAAGAACGCCATAAAGAGCAGCGAGCGACTCGTTTCCGTGGCCCGGATGGTTCACCTCCTTCTTGATGAACTCTTGAGCAACCTTTTTGTACAATTCCGGACTTTGCATCGTATTCGAAATAAGCATCGCGTGACCCCAAAGCCTCTTATCCACCGCAGCCCAAACCGCCTTCTCTCGGTCGCCGGACAGCAGATGGTGCCGGATCTGCTCGACAGTCGTAGAATCGACGGCGTCCGCTTGCATATTAGTTACAGTTGAAGATATCCCCGTCAAATCGGCTCCGCTAGAGATCGTAGCAGCAAGCTCAGGGTTACTAGTGTCGAGACCAGGGGAGATAACCTCTCTAACAGCCTTTTCTACTGTAGGATTTCCTTCGAGAAGACCGTCATTTTCAACAAAAACCCGTAGAATCTTCCATAATAATACCCGCTCAATGGCTCTGTTGTCCTCATGTGAAACAGCATGTAAGAACGAAGGGTTTGGAAGACTTCTTTCAAGAACCTCAATACCAGCCGTCAACCATGCAACAGTTTCTTTCTTCTTCGATTTGCCCTTTAAAGGTCCTGGAAATTTGGCTAGACGCTCTTCCAACGGTTGGATATCTTTGACATGCCGTATTTTCACCTCGCCTGGACTACGCACGATCATCGGGAGCGCCTGGCTGATGCCATACCGCGGGACATCCGTTGGGAAAGAGGTTACAAGTATTCCTCCCACACCCCATGTAATGACGGGACAACCCCGCCATCTCTTTAACGGGTCCTGTTCCCGACCATCGGTTGGCGGGACAAGATTGAGGTGCTGAGACATGCCCCGGGCTCTAACAGCAGGTCGAGCTGCATCCGCATTCGGTATCTCTCGTGGAGAGGAAGCACCTTGCACGGAAGACGGCCGAGGAACAGGGTCGATCGGCCTTATTCCAGCCCGATTTCCATAAAGAGCTCCAGGTGATTGGGTTTGAGACCGAGGTGGTGGCACAAAGTTGACCTCCTTGTGTGGTACGGATGCGGGGGACATCGGGGCATAATTCGATATCGCTCTCTTAGGGGGAGATATCGCATTATATGCAGGAGAGCTGAGAGGCGGGGGGGTATGCCTGACTTGTCTTGGACTATATTTGGATTCGGACGGAGCCTTGGGCGCAACTGGCGGAGAGCGTAGTAAGGATTGCTCTTCCTCGACTTCCTGCGTCGGTGGTAATGAAGGCACTCTTGTAAGACGAGGCTCATACTGAGATGAGCTTCGACGTTCAGAGGTGCCTTCAACGTTCGTAGGAGTCGGCATCGGCCTATCGCGTGAGACTTCAAAATGAGAGTGAGCAAGGGGGCTAGAAGTTCGCGGTTGGTGTGCGAGCATCGGGGGTGGAACAGCGGCGTATGCACCACTAGATGACCGGACAGAAGGCGGAGCGGGCGAATATCGGCTAGAAGCAGGCGGTGGGACACCGTTTGCTACCGATGATTGAGGCGGAGCGGGAGAGTATCTCGAGACCGCGACGGGAGGCGCACTTGGCGTAGGTAGCGAATTGGATTGCACCGAGGCGTAAGGATTAACACGCTCTGGAGCAACTAGTGACGCGATACCAGCTCCTTGCTCTTGAGGAGAATGGGGAGGATAGGAAGCAGGCGATGTTAAGGGTGATCCATGAGGAGGACCGTGTGGCGGTTGTCCATATGGGCTAAGCTGAGGTGAGGCGGAAAGGTGACTGAGTCGCGACGCGGGCCGGGGCCTCGACGCTAGAGGTAAGTCCTCGAAGAAGCTAGATTTAGATTTCAACTGAGGGGTAGACTTCTGGGCTGCCGCTGGTGGTGGCGGCGGTTGGCTTGAATGGCTTGAACCAGGAGGCGATAAACTGG